GGGGAGCCAGCAAACCCTGCCCTGGCCACTGGGATGAGAAACAGATCAGAACCGGCCTGGGTCATGGTCACAAAGAAAGATGTACACCTTGTCTGTGGCGGGGTGGGTGGGGGTCCCGGGAAAGCTGCCTGTCAGAGGAGGCAGAGACTGGGAGAGTGTGCGAAGGCACGGGAGCAAGAAAGGCCCAGGCAAGTTTGAGGAGGGGGGGCCCTCTGGTGTCTGCAACGCAGGGCGTGGGGGGCTGGGTAGACCACCCAAGGTTTCTCTTTGTGCAGAGGGCCCAGTACTTACCCAGATTCTTCACACCCAGGCATACGTCTCTGATGGCTTGGGATCTGTAGAAAGTCTCGCCACTCAAAGGCACTCATGAAGCCTGTGCAAGTGCCAGGAGGGCCCTCCGACAGATTCCCACGCCACCTCTTCCTGGCTGTGTGACATTCACTAGATGACTTTGCCTCTCTGTGCTTCTTTCCCTCTCATATAAAAAGGGGTAACACCTACAACATCCACTATTATTTTGAGGATAAAATACACTAATGCATAAAACACTCCTAAGCTAGGGCCTGGTATATCCTGAACTCTCAATAAATGTCAGTTATTGTTATCTGTAACGTCACACTTCATGGTGATCTGATTAAGGTGCGTCCACCTCACCGTGCTCAACTCCCTGAAGAAAGGCGTCCGCAGTGGTCTCCCCTGCGGTGGTTGTCTAGCAGTTGATTGCTGATTCTCCTCAGAGTCTATACCCACCAGCCCTGGTAGCTTCTAGACCTATTCATAGACTTGGCCCCAGAAGTCACTGTGGCCAGCAGGGGAGACTGGTGTGGGGCAGTCTTTCCATGGCCAGGTGTATAGACCCTTATCCCAGCAAAGCAGAATTCGTTTGTGATCTGTCAGGTACCAGCCAGGGTGGGGTGGCCACAGCGTCCCAGACAGAGAGGCTGGGGGCTTCTAGGGAATCTCTGTCTTTGAGAGAATTGTATAGGGGAGCGCAGGGGTACCAGACGTCTTGGCTCCCAGACAGCGTGAGTGTTCGTGGAACGAGGCCCTGCCGGAGCCTTCAAAGGGGTGTCACATGTCGTCCCCCGGCCGTGAAATAAGCAGGAAAAGGAATTGAGAGATCATGGACAAGGTTCCCAGAAGGATTCAAATCTAGGTAAAGACTGACCGTAGGTTCCCAGGGGGGGACTCGGGATAGAGAGTCCTGCCTGCCCTTAGACCATGTGCCAATTATCTTGCTCTGGCCTTGTCCTTCCCACCTGCAACGTTTAATCTACATTCACCCCGCCCCTACTTAGTGTTGGCGCAGTTCCAGAGGGTGAACTAGAAAACTACAAGTTCCTAATAGTTGGCCAAAAGAAACCTCAACAAGAGAAGCAGAACATGTTCCCTCTCCCCTAAAAGCTGTAGAAAGGAAGCCACTCTCCTGGGGCAGGAAATGGCTAATTTTAAAGTTGCCTAAATGTCAAGGGGTTGTTGCTATGCTGCTGGTGTACAACAACCACTGTATAGTCCCTCCAACCTCTGCATCTCAAGCCTTCTCAGGGGCTGTGTCTGCTCATTGCCGAGGTTCGAGATAATGAAATGAACGTGTCCTCTGAGGAAGGGGGACTTGTGGGTCTCTTTCACAGCCAGGGAAAGGGCTGGCCCCTCTCCCTTCTTCCACATACAATAGGCTGCAAGATTTTTTAGTTTAAGGAGGACTATGAGAGTCTGCATCTCATTTAAATTAGCCCAGAAGCGAAGGAACTAAATCTCAACTCAGGCTGCAAAAGAAAATGGATTTTAATAATATTCAAATCTAGCATTTACTATTTTCAACAAATAAATATTGCTCCTCCCCAGGAAGTAAAGAGGCCTTGGGGTTAAGCAGGCAGGGAGATGGGGCACGGTCACCCCTCTCCTGGCCTTCATGGAAACTCCAGGAAAAGGCTCACAATGTCCACCTTCACCCTAGAGTGGGAGAAGCTGGTCCAGTGTCCCCTGAGTGCCTCAGCTTTCCCCACACTGCTGAAGAAGGGGTGCCCTTGAGCTGGCCTTAGGGGTACAAAATAGCCCTAACTTTAGGAGTGTGATCCGGACTCTGTGTTGGGGGCCTGGTGGCTGGACAGAAGAGAGGGGTCACCTCGGGAGGCCTCCCCCAGGGTCATGGCCCCGCCACTGCACTCGGATCCAGGCACTGGGCTGAGCGCTTGGTCAGTCAATATGCCATTTGTCCCCGCATCACCCATTTCACAGAGGAGAAAACTGAGTCCCGGAAAGCAGAGGGGAATCACCTCCAGCACAGGATTGGTCAGTGGTGGAGCTGGGTTCTGACTCTCCAAAATCACATTTGGCTCAAGCTTAATGGAGCCCTTGGGATTCAGCCACTGCCAGCCTGGACACTCACCCTTGAGCTCCATGATGGCCAGATCCTCTTGGCCTTCAGTGTTCTGTTGGCCAATCAGGACTGGGGCTCCGGCCCGCAGGGTAGGTTCTAGCTATCGTACCTGTGAACCTACCAGGAGCCACACCTCACGTGTTGCTCCAGGTGCCCGCCCAGTAGCAGGAGCCTGGGTGCCTTGGGGGTGGCCACGCAGCAAGGTCTGATAAGGGAGCCAAGGCCGCAGACTCTGGAGTCAGCCGCCAGGGAGACTCTGTACCTGCCCCCACTCAACTCCTGCCCAGCCTTACCTCGAACTCTGGCTGAGCTACTCCATATCCTGAAAAGAAGCCCCAGACTGCTCCTCGGGTTCAAGGTCGTGATGATTTGCAGTTCCCTGTGCAGCAGCAGATAGGGCCTGGGTGGGAGATACTGCAGGGGCTTATGAGGGGTGAGGAGTGAGGCAGGGGGCTTTGCACACAGGGGAACCCCCCCCCCCCGTCTCTCCAATTTCATCCAGCCCCTAACTGCTCTCAGAGATGGGTGTGAATAGCCCCTCCCTCAGCAGTTGTCCTCAATGCCAGCCCCTACGCCTGTGTTATCAAACTCTCCCAATAAATGTGAGACACAGGGGATGCAGCAAGGAGTGTCCTGCCTGCGGCCATCTCTGATGTCCACTCCACTGCCCTCGCCCCCTGAGTGCCACAGCTAGCTGTTCACCTTATTCCTTTTCTGGTGGTTGATCTGGTTCCCCTGGGAGGCAGACAGCCTAAGTCCCTCAGAAAGAGCCCCTTAACTAGCCCTTAACTAGTGCCTCTTCACCCTTTCTCATGTTGCACTACCACCAGAGACCTCGAGGGGGCAGGGCACACACAGAAAACAGGCCTGGGACCTGAGCCAGACTCTGGGCTCCAGACTCTGGGCAGTGGACTTGGAATTGAAGCACAGTGTTCAGGCACTGTGGCAACAGGAGGTGGGGCTGGACCCGCTGAAGGACTTTTCTGGGCTCTCTAGGGGTCACGTCCAGGACAGCAAACTTAGAAGGCTGCTCCTGCCAGGATCCAGGACAGAGTCATTGAGGCCGTACTCCATCCAGAACCGCTCATCTTAGATCCTGGACATCTGCCCCAAGCTACTTGGTACCAGTGCCACCCCATTTGCCAGCGTGCTCCGATTCTGAAACAATCTCAGCTTGAACGCTCACCCAGCGAGTGGCCTCCCTGAGCCTGCCTCCCTCTCCAGAAAGTGTGAGAACTCCGCCTACCTCACAGGGTCTCCTGAGGGCTTAATGTCAAACAACCGTCATCATTGTCCTCCCCTCACACCTCCAGGCAGAGTGGGGCACAAAGCTCCAGCACATTCTTTTGCTTCCTTGAACCTCACTCCCACCCTGGGAGGCCTGCACCACAGGACCCTCCCAGGAGGGTCCCCTGCATTTTCAGGTGAGGAGCCAGAGGCCCACAGAGGGGCAGTGACTTTCTCAGAGGCTGACCTAGAAGAAGCTGCCCCGCCGTCCAGCAGGAGGCCCTGCCTCAGCCATCTTCACCCCACCCCGGCCCCACCACTGACCCAAGTGCTGTCCTCTGGGCTCTCAGTGTGTGTGCCGAGGCCCCCAGTGGGGCTGAGCCATGAATGGGGAGGGGTGGGTGTCTCAGGACCCTGGCTGAGCCCCACTGGGGGCTATGACCCCCAAGCTGGGCCTGAGGCTATGCCGAAGGCATCACCTCCTGCGGATGCTGCCCTGCCCAGCAGTCTTTCTTATCCACTCAGGAGGCGGACTTGGGAGGGGCCATCTCTGACCAACAGGGTAGGGAATGACCAGGGCACAGAGCGGTAACACTTTATTTCCTCTTTTCCATGCAGTTTCTGACTTCCATCCAGAAAGAGCCCACTATGAATCCCATCAGCTCCTCCTGCTCCCCAAAGCCATCTGGAGAGCATGTCATCGCCAACGAGACACCCAGGCGAAAATCCTGTGATCGATCGCAGTGACTGCTGTGGGGGCCGAGGGGGGAGTCAGAGAATGCACGTACATCTTTCCCTGGTCCAGCCACTGAGACCCAAGGGCTAGGCAGCCCATTTGCTCACCCGGCCTGTGGGACGCCCCTGCAGCACCCACCCCTGGTGCAGGCAGGTGCCCTTCCGCGTGGAGACGCTGTGAAGACAGGAGGGGGAGCGGAGGCACCCTTCCTGGGGGCAGGGTTCTGCTGGGGGCGATCCTACTGAATACAACTTAGTAAGGCGCACCTGCCCTTCAGGGAACACCTTCAACAGGTGCTCTGAACTCCTGCATTTGGCAGCAGCCAATGTGCAAGCGCCCCCAGAGAGAGGAGAAGTGACAGGGTGAGGAGGGTGACGCGGGGGGTCAGGCAGAGTGGACGGTGCACTCGTCACTGGAAGTGGACTGGCAGTAGGGGGGGTTGAGTGTGAGGAGGAAGGCAGAGGAGCAGAATGAGGAGGGCGGGGCACAGGGGGAGAGCGAGGAGTGGGCTGGAGCAGGGACAGTCAGGGTGGGAGCCAGAGGGGTGGCCTCTGGGGTCTCCCAGGGGCTGGGGTGGGATTTCATAGGGGCTGCAGAGCTGGGGAGGGCCTGTGAGCAGGACAGTGGGTAGGTGGGAGCTGTGTTCAGGGGGTTAGGTGGCAGTGGCGGGCTGGGTGAATGGACCTCAAAGAATCCCCGCAATTAGCCTTTTTCTTATAAATCCATTCAAGCCCTGAGGCCCAAATGTTGAGCCTGTCTCCTCTTCTAAACAGAGGAGTTGATGTCTTTTAGAGGTGCTTTCCTCTTCTCACTTACAGCCAAGCACTGCTCCATGCTACTTCCCAGCAAAGGCTGGCTTTCACCAAGGTGAAGATGGGATGAATTTTGACCATAGTTAAGGGCTCAGAGCTACATCTCCGGGTTCAGAGCTAGTTTTGAGAACATTTAGTGTGCTGCTCTGGGTCCTCCAGACAGCCTTGGGGTACCCCCTGTGGAGAGTAGAAATTGGCTTGGAGAGAAGGGGTTGGCTAAATTTCGATACTCCACACCGGGTGCTTCCGTTACTAAGGGCAACCCCCTCCCTTGGAAGAGAGGAAGTGAGGGCGTGGCCGGCGGGGCCGCCCCTCCGTGTTGCCTTGGAGACGCAGTGTGTCCTGTGGGCAGAGGTTGGGCAGGCCCTAGCTGACTTGAGTGGTGCTTTCTGAAGTTGAGGTGAGGCGGCCCCCCTGGGCTCTGGGCGCCCCTCCACTTGGCCGGGCCCAGAAGGTGTGGATGTCCAGGGCCTGCTCCCGCTCCTCGGTGGGCTGGGGGAGGGGTGGGTGGGATGGGGCCTGAGAGGCCTGCTGGATCCTCCCCAGCACACAGTAGGCGCCTAATTAGCCTGGCTGGAGTCCGGCAGCTCCCTCGCTTAACCCCCTCCCTGTGTCCACTGGGGTGGGGGTTCAAGGTCGGTTTGAAATCCCAGCTGACACCTTTCGGGCAAAGACTTTCCTCAAAAGAGCTTGGGAGAGAAGAGCATGAAACAATAATCACTTCTTGTTCTTAACCCCGAAGTCCCTCTGGGATTTTCATCCTGCGCGCCAGGGAGAGAGCCCGCTTTCCCTGCGAGTTCAGCGGTTGCCTGACGTTTATCTGCCCGCTTCTTCGCCCCCTCCCTTCCGTTTGTTTAAAAAACGCGGCGGACGGAGAAGGGCCCAGGCTGTCTCCAAGGGCGGAGTGGGGGAGGCTCCGTCCCGCCCCACAGGTCCCCTGGAGGGACTCGCCCCCTCTCTCAAGGTCTGGTCTTAACGAGAGCAAATCCCATAACTGCTTCCTGGCAGGGACGTCCAGGGCCAAGATGTCCACAGTGGGGAAGGTGACCCGGGTTCCCGGCGGGACAGTCTACCAGCAGATCTTCCAGGCTGAGGTAGACCTGCCCTTTTGTCTCCCTTTTTCCTGCTCCCCAAATTTCCCTGTGTTCCCCAAACTTCCCTCTCCTCCCCTGCAAACTTCCCTCCATCTGAATGAAGTCTTCCTTGCCTGGGAATCTAATGAAATAAGGACTTGGAAAATAGCTTTCCTTTTAAAAATAACTCTTACGTGTTCTTAAAATGCAGGAATATAAAATTAGAATGTCTATTGTTGGACATGAGAAAATTTAAATTAAAAGCTTTAAAGTTCTCAGAAATTGCCAGAATTAACCACTGGATGTTCCGGGTCTTTTTCCTCTGCATGAAAGCGTTCCTAATTTTTCCCTTCAGAACCTGGATTTGATTCTAGCCTCCCGTTTTGAAACCTGCTTTTCCCTATTAACAGCATCCCAGAGACCCTCCCGGTGTCAGGGGCCATTTGTGTCCTTCAGGACATTCAGCGCCCGCTGAGTTGATGTAGGACTTCCTGTAATGTATTCAAGGGACACCCATTTGACAGCCACATAGGTGCGGGAATTCTCTTGTCATCCGCAGAAAACTACACAGAGAAAATGGTATTTTAAAAGAAATACACAGATTGGAACATGCCCTTTGAATTTCCATACCGCTTATTTGAAAGGGATTTGCAGGCCTACTGTGAACCCTAGATAACGCTGTCTGTAGACGCCCGGGAGATGAGAAGAGGATAGAGAGACGCAAGGAGGGAATCACTCACGACCCTGCTGCGCGCCCTTGGTGCCCGGCCCTTTTCTGTGTGTTTCTGAGCGCTCTCCTCACTCCCGCCAGAATGTTTGGGACTTTTCTCTGCATTTAAAATGTTGAGATTGCACTGCATACTTTTTAAATAATTTTTAAAACAAGTTAAATAAGTTTTAATGTATGCTTTTCATTGATATATTTTATGGAATATTATAAGCATTTTCCCATGTCACAAACAATTCTTTCTAAGTCTCACTTTCAACAAAAGCCTGATATTCCACTGAAGGGACCTGTGATGTCCCCTCAACCAATCCCCTATTAATGGACAGGTCCATTTTTCCAGGTCCTTGTGATTATACAAAATGCTGGGATGAACATCTTGGTCTTCATTAAAACCTCTTCAAAGATGTCTTCCTAGATGTGGTTGAATGGCTGCAACGGGGAGTGGAGAGCCCTCCTGTATGAGGTGTGCTCTGCAAAGCACCTTCCTGCTGGCAGGCTTCCACTTGACCTTCTGAGACTACACAGTCAGCCTGAGGGTGCTGGGGAGTCTGTGCTCTGACCCCTCCCCCCAACTGGATCAGGTGCAGCTGGTCCACTCCCTGGCGGCCTCCAGGAAGCAGAATGCAGAGCTTTCCCTGACCCCGAAGGAGGGCAGCAAGCCCTTGATGAAGAAGGGGGATATTCCTAAAGGGGAGATGATGTCTTCTCGGCAGCAGAAGTGGGTGCACAGCCTGCCCAATGACTGGGTCACAGAAAACCCTGTACTCTACAGGTAGGTCCTGCCATCCAGGCCACACCGCCACACATGGGGGGGGGCATCAGAGCCTTTGAAACCTCAAAAAGAGCTCACACAAGATGAGAGCTTGGTAGGAATAAAGTCCCAGGGAGTTAATAACACCTGCTTTGGGGAGTAGTTTGCTTCTCCTTCCCTTCTTTCAAGGGCCAGCACTGGGATCCCACCCTCCTGGAATTTCAGGCCTCTACAGTAAATGAATAAATAAGCCGTTCTCCCCAAGGATGGGAAGGCCCTGGCACAGAGGATGGGGTGGTGGGACAGGTGTCAGGAAAGCTCTCTGAGGAGGGGCCTCAGCTGAGACGGGAGGATAAGGGAAAGGAAGCGTGGGGCACGACTCTGAGGCAGGACGGGCTGGGTCCACTCCAGACGGCTGAAGAAGCCGGCAGGCCTGGGGAGAGGGAGCTGAGGTTAGGAGAGGCTTTCAGGCCACAGTCGGTACTTTGGGCATTACTAAAGTGAGCAGCTGATTTGCATTTTTAAGGTTTTCAGGGTGCCGTGTGCAGGATCTGCGGAGCTGCACGAAGAGGCAGAGGGGAGCCCACCAGCGGTCCATGTTAGCTTGGTGGGGCTGGGAGAGGGAGAACAGGGCAACTTCAGATAGACTTCGGAGGCAGAGCCCTTGGACCAGGTGATGGACTGGATTGGAGGAGAGATGCCCTGTGAGTCCTAGGTCTCTGGTCTGAGCGCTTGGATGGGTGGCAGAGATGCCATTTCCTGAGATGGAAACAGATGGAGTTGGAGCAGGGAGTTCCTTCTGAACTTCCAAGTTTGGAAGCTGAACTTGAGAATCCTGAGCATGCCACTTTACCTCCCTGAGCTCTGACCCCTCAAGTTGGAAAAAAGGAAAGAAAAGGAAAGCCAAGGTTTCATCTTCCTCATTGGGCGTTTGGAGAATGTAGCAGAAGCTGGGCTTCCCTTCTGCCCTTCAAGCTCTGCAAACCCTAAAGCCTCTCTGGCCTGGGACGCTGGGGCAGGAACTCAGTCCTTCTCTACCAGCCATTGTTTGCCCTTTCACCTGCTTTGGTGCAGGGGTTGACCAAGTTCTGGGTGAAGATCTCAGCTCTGATCTGACCTTCAACTTTTCTCAGGGAAAGCTCCCCTGAGGCTTCTGACCCTCAGCACCCTTAACTACCTACAGATGGGTAAACCCACTGGGGACTGGAACCCACACTGGAGATCAGCATTCTCCAGCCCATGAGCTGATGCCTGATGCAGAGGTCCCCCTGAGGGCAGGGGGACCCTCAAGAGGCACAGATGGCTGGGGCCTGTCCATGCTCCCCTTTCCTCACCCCACCCTGGAGGTCAGCCTTGCAGCCTGCCTGTGACTCTGGCTCCCTGCAAGGATCCCAGGCCCCTCTCAGCTGACCTGTTTTCATCGAGGTCCGGGATCTGTGAATATCTCCCTGTGCCTCTTGGGGGTCCCCCTACCCCCAGGGTTTAGCTTAGGACCACCTGTCATCCTGATAACCAGATCCAGCATCAATCAGGAGGTCTTGGCACCCACAGGATAGCGTTTTGGGAGGCACTTCTCATGCAGGTCCCGGGCGTTGTGCTGTGCTGTGCCGGCTTCCTGAGACAGACAGACAAAGCCGCCTCTGCCCTGATCACGGACCCAGGGCACACCCACCTGTGGCCTGTGGCAGGAACAGAGATATGGTTGTAACCTGTTAGATTGTGCCAGCCTCAAAATAACTGGGGTCACTGCTTGCTGGCAGCACTGGCATCTCTCTGGGGTGCCTTATCCCCTTTCTGAAAATGTGGCCAGTCAAACCCAGGCGCCTTGTGTGTTCATTTTGGCAGGGTGGAGCCTCTGGGTGGGTAGAGAGCAACTCAAGGGAAGGAGAGACCACCACCAGTGTAAACCAAGTCCCCAAGTCCCCTGGCAAGTGGCAGAGAAGCCAGAGCCATCAGCAGCTGCCAGAGTCAGGGCCCTCGGACTCCTGTGAAGCCACCTTAGTCCAGAGGCCTTTGGTTGACAAGACCGAAAGACCTGCCTCCGGAGGGCCAGGCGGGGCCCTGTGCCCTGCAGCCCAGGCCCTGCAGTCTCCCTCACTGGGCGATGTGGGAAAGGCCCAGTACCTGCTACACCCATTGGTGCCCTGAGGAACAGCAGGCATCTCTGAGAACTGCTGCACGTCTGCGGTACTTGCATGGCGGACAGTGTGTTCAGGATATGTAATCCTAAGCTAAGGTCATACCCAACTACCCTGGTCCTCCCTGCTGAGATAGTTTGTCCTGGGATCCCAACTCTCTTCTCCTTCACCCACCCAAACCCCAAGCACCATGGACTTCAGTGTTGTGTGCATGGGTCTGGGAGTCCCAGCTCTAATTCACACAGTGACTTCCCTAAGACCCTTCCCCCATCCTGGACACTGGGGTTGCCCCCACTGCCTCATAGGATCGGCTGCTAAAGGAGCCAGTGAGGAATGTGCTAAATGCTTAGCACGGGTCTGGCTTTCCCGGGCAGGTCATGCCCCTTCTGGTCTTCAGTCTCCGCATGTGGACAGTGATTCCTGCCTGCCACTCATGTGGTTGACAGGCAGACCAGAAGCAGGCTCTGCCGGCCAGGCCCCAAACCCTCATCCCGGGATGCCCGGCATGCACTGGCAGCACATGCCCAGGCAGGTTGTAGGGAGACTGGCCCAGTCTTGGGACACTCCAAAATCAGTGGGCCCAGGCTGTGGGCAGTGGACAAAGTCCAGGGACCACCTATAGACTCCCCAGTGTCAAGCTTCTCTATGACTAAGGGGGTTGGGGTTTTATTGTTCTTATCTGCTACCGCCTCAGGGAAAAGAAAATTAGCAAGAAGGAAAAAACTCAAGACAGTGAGAGTGCCATCGCTGCCCTGGAAGTCCGGAGCCTCATGGACACCATCGGTGACCCCCCTATACCCTGTCCCTGGGTGCTCTCTCTCCCCTGACCCCTCCCCAGGCCCTCTCCCTGTGGCCTTCTCCCCTGCTTTCTCTCCAGTTGGCTCTCTCCAGTAGATCTGTTCCTCGGGGCCTTCTCCCCCACTCCCTCTCCTCTACTCGCTCTCACTTGGGGTCCCTCCCCGGGGCCTCTCCTCTTGGTCTTCTCACCAGGGCCCTCTCCCCTGGGTCCTCTCTCCTGAGCCTCCTCCCCTGACTCCTAGTCCCTGGGCTTTCGTACCTAGGCCTTCTCTCCTGGCTCTTTCTTTTTTTTTAATATATATTTTTTATTTTATTGATTATGCCATTACATTTGTTCTATTTCCCCCCCTTCATTCCCCTCCACCCTGCACACCCCTCCCCCACCATCCCCCCTTTAGTTCATGACCACGTGTCTCAAGTTCTTTAGATTCTGTATTTCCCCTACTATTCTTACCCTCCCCCCTATCTATTTTCTACCTACCATCTATGCTACTTATTTTCTGTACCTTCTCCCCCCTTCTCCTCTCCCACTCCCCTGTTGCTAACCCTCCATGTGATCTTCATTTCTATGGTTCTGCTCCTGATCTAGCTATCCTCTTAGTTTGCTTTCGTTTTAGGTGTGGTTGTTGATAACTGTGAGTTTGCTGTCTTTTCACTGTTCATCTTTTTTATCTTCTTTTTCTTAGGTAAGTCCCTTTAACATTTCATATAATAAGGGCTTGGTGATGATGAACTCCTTGAACTTGGTCTTATCTGAGAAGCACTTTAACTGTCCTTCCATTCTAAATGAAAGCTTTGCTGGATAGAGCAATCTTGGATGTAGGTCTTTGGATTTCATGACTTGGAATACCTCTTTCCAGCCCCTTCTTGCCTGCAAGGTCTCTTTTGAGAAACCCGCTGACAGTCTGATGGGAACTCCTTTGTAGGTGACTGTCCCCTTATCTCTTGCTGCTTCTAGGATTCTCTCCTTCATTTTAATCTTGGCTAATGTAATTATGATGTGCCTTGGTGTGTTCCTTCTTGGGTCCAACTTCTTTGGGACTCTGAGCTTCCTGGATTTCCTGGAAGTCTATTTCCTTTGCCAGAATGGGGAAGTTCTCTTTTATTATTTGTTCAAATAAGATTTCCACTCGCGGCTGTTCCTCTTCCCCTTCTGGTACCCCTATAATTCGGATGTTGGAGCATTTAAAGATGTCCTGGAGGTTCCTAAGCCTGTCCTTATTTTTTTTGAATTCTTGTTTCTTCATATTTTTCTGTTCAGTCATTTTTTTCCTTCCTTCTGGTCTGCTCCCTTGATTTGAGTCCCAGTTTCCTTTCCATTACTACTGGTTTCCTGTGCATTTCCATTCATTTCAATTAGTTTAGCCTTCATATGTTCCTCTAATTTGTGACTAAAATAAACTAGTTCTGTGAGCATCCTGATCACCAGTGTTTTGAACTGTGCATCTGAAAGTTTGGCTATTTCTTGGTGGCTTAGATTTATTGGCTCCGGGGCTCTGAGTTGTTCTTGAGCCATGTTTTGATCTGTTCCTGCCTGTTACTTATGAGGAGAGGCGCCTTAGGTGTTCACCAGGGTGGGGCCACCCAGGTCGCTGGTTTGTGATGCTGTATGTGGGGGTGGGGTCAGACAGGGAGCAATGGCGGTCCTCTCCACTCGCCCAGTCCGTCCCACTGCTCGCCCCCCGCCTGTTTATCTGAGTGCAAATGTGCGAGCCCGAAGCCCTGCGCTGGGACCTGCACAGTCTGTCTCAAAGCACGTCTCTTCACTGGTTTATCCGCACGCAAATATGCGACCTCAGACAGCCAGCTGCGCCGCGCCTTCCCGTAGCTGCCCCGCACCTGGGATCCGTGTCCTCGGCTGCTTGTGTGCTGCCCGGGTCAGGGGATTGTTTTGCCCAACCCGCTCTGCTGCTGGCTTCGCCCCTCTTACTGGTTTAGCTGAGCGGTTCTTTATTTTTAGACTCCGTGTTGTTCGATTTTCTGTGGTTTGGTTGCGTTTATTGTTAAAACTTTGTTGTTTTTAGATTTGGTTGTGCGAGGAAGCAAAGTGTTTTCACCTGCGCCTCCATCTTGGTGGAAGTCCTCCCCCTGCTCTTTCGTTATGATCTCTCCCCCGGGCCTCTCCTCTGAGCCCTCTCCCCAAAGCCTTCTCCCCTGCTCCCTCTCCCCTGGGTCTTCTCCCCTGAGTTCTCGCTCCAGGGTCCCCTCTCCTTCCCTGGGCCTTCTCCCAGTACAGGGATCTGGCAGAGGAGGGAGTGACTGCCGCACTCTAAATATTTTCTGATAAAAACTGTTCATAAAGGATGTTGCTGGCTTTACTGCGATTCCCTAACAGAATTTCTGAATCCACCTTTTCTTCCTTCATACCACAGTGTCTTAGTTGACTTTTCCCCATTATGGCAGCTTGTTTTCTTTATGATTGAACGAGTAATACACGCTCACTATAGGAAAACGAAGGAGTAGTCATGCAGTAAGAACTCCCCTCTACAATAGCGCCCATTCTCCTCTCTAGAGTGCCTGCTCCCCCATGAAATCACACCTGTGGTGTCCTGCTTCCCTCCTGGGTTCTGGGGACAGCAGAGCTGAGGGAGATGTCCAACACTAGAGCCCGGGGGCACCCATCCAAGTCCCTGCTCAGCCACCGACAGCCTTTGTTCTTTAACCACCATGCCCGAGCCTCCCCACTTGCAAAACAAGACCAATGAGTAACTGAGAACAATGCCTGATACTTGTGAAGTGCTGTGCAAATGTTGCTTATTCTTATTTGTGTATGCATTTCCTTCTATAAACATTTTTAAAAAACATAAATGGTCCCATTAAATACATACCATTAGGAACTTTGTTATTTTAAAGCTTTATTCATTTTTAGAGAGAGGGAAGCGGGGGAGGGCAATATCCCTGTGTGGGAGAGAGACATCCATCTGTTGCCTCTTGCATGCCTCCAACCCAGGACCTGGCCCTCAGCCAGGCACGGGCCCTGACCCCAGGAATGGAACTGGTGACCTTTTGGCTTGTGGGATGACACCCAACCCACTGAGCCACACCAGCCAAAGAGTTCCACTTGGGAACTCTTTGCCAGCGTTTAACTGGATGGGTGAGACGTCATGTCCTACAGTACTTACGGCTCGCCCTTGTCTCTCCTCTCCTTTTCCATGAGACTGACTCTGCTGGTGGGGCATCGGGACCCATCTCCTGAACCAGGGCACTCTCTGCCCTGCTGCCTTTTCTTGGGTGCCCTCCCCCAGCCCTGGGGCTCCAAGTGCAGCCTCATCACCTCTGTCATTCTCCCCCAGTTCCTGAGCGGGCCAGCACTGTCAGCCTTCAGGGAGACTACAAGAGGAAGGCCTTCGAGAGCGCTCTGCAGAGTTTTAAGGAGGAGATTGCTGAGATCGGGATGGTGAGAACCCTTGCTTTTGCTCTCCTGTCCCTGGGCCATTCCAAAGGCAGGTTTGTCACTGCCCCGCCCGAGCTTCCCCCCAGGTCTCAGAGGTTCTCAGTGGCTCAACTTGCTGCTGACGGAAGCAGCATCGTGTTTCACTGGCTTGTGACAAGCGCTCATTATGACGGCCTTGTAAGTCAGGCTCTGTTATTACTCCCGTTTTACAGGGAAGCCAAGGGCTCCCTGTATCTGACTTGGCACATAAGGGGCCAAGTGGGAACTGCACTCTAAGTCTGACATCACAGCCCAGCCTCCGGTGTCTCTGCTCATTCCCACGCATGAGGGGCCACACGGCCTGACCCTCCATGGACACCTTGATGCTGCCTGGCCCTTAGGTGCTGCCCTCACTTGGCTCCCTGTTCTTCTCCAGAGACCTCATCCCTAGCCACACAGGTCCCAGAAGAGTCCCTAGACAACACCCTTCTTGGCCCCTCCTGGACCTCTCCGAGCCGCAGGCTCACCACTTTCTCCCCGAGGCCTCTCTGAGTGAGGTCGTTCCCCTAGAGCAGTGGAGCTGGCTCGGGACCCAGAGTATCAATAATGTGGACAGGAGCTCTGTCTCACCCATGAGCTCTATGGCTTTGGTCAGCTTCGGCCACACAACACAACCAAGCCTTAGCTGCCTCGTCTGCAGTCAGGATTTCTTATCAGCCACTTCTTTAATGAATATTTGTTGAGCCCCAACTGTGGGCCTCGCCAAATGCCAGCACCCACCTTACAGACTGGGACGAGGACCCAGTGCATCCAAGGACAAGGGCTCGGCTCAGCAGAGCAGAGCGCCTGGCGCACGGCATGTGCCCTGCATCGCGGCTGCCCCTGAGCTCTAGCCGTGAGCTGATTGGAAAATCTTAACTCTCAGGTCTAGGGAATGATTATGATTGTCGAGGCAGGACCTCGGCTGACACTTCTGCATTATGGGGGAGGGGCTTCCTGCGCCCGAGGCTGTGGACACCACCCCCATCGCCCTCCTGGCCTGTTTTAGGAAATGGAAACTTTCGTCTTAGAGTCAGGAGCGCTTCTTTTAAAAAAGCTGACTGAGTTCAAGGAAGACATCAACTGTCTCTTCAAAAAGATGGAGAACGGCAACCTTGAGGACTACAGTATCCAAGTAGGGGTCCCCTCGTGGGTCGGCCCGCCCCCCCCAGTCCTGCTCCATCCCGCCCTGCCCTCTGTTCCCCCAGCCTGACCCAAAATCCTCGGCACAGACTCTGTTGGACCTGTGGGACCAGGTGGCTGAGAAGTTCCTGCTCCAGAAGCAGGGGATTAAGGAGCTGGACGAGAGGCTCTACTCGGTCGAGTTCTCCCGGGTAGACAGAGTGAGTCGGCCCCCGACAGGCTCTCGGGGGTCCCCTCCTGTGAGGAGCCATCTGTCCCCTTTCAGTTGTCTGGGGGGAAAGAGTCGCTAACTATGGCATCTGGTCCTTTCCAGCTGAAAAGCATGTTGAAGAAGTATGTGGAAATCATACAGAAAACGTCCTACCTCATGCAGCCTGACGTGTACAGGCTGATAAACAAAGAAGCCATGGTGAGTGGGTTTTGTGTGCAGGGGGCCAGCCCACGGAAGAGGGGGCCAGGCCTCCGGGGACCCCAGAGCCTGGCGTCTCAGGAATGAAGGGCTTCTCACAGGTGGCATTTCCAAGTGACTCAGGTTGGCCAGTTAGGTTCAGAACCAGAGCCTTAGTTGAGTGTTTTCAGTAACCGTCTGTCTAAAGTTCATTGCATACTTCCCTGCCGCCTTAGCCTTGGTGCACCTAATGCAGCGTCATCGTTTTGAGCACTGGCGATTATGCCAGCGCCTACTGGGCTCTGACTCAGCCACCATGCGGGGTGCAACAGATGCTGCACAGGGTGGCACTACCTGGAAGCTGTCGCTGTCCCAGAGTGGTCTGCGCCCTCGTGGGTGACCCCAGCCTGCTTTGTTGGTCTAGTTTTTCTACCGGTTCTTGCCTTTTCTCCTGCCGGCCATTAGAGCCTGCAGCTGAACCGTGCCTGCCCTGAGCTCTGTCCCCAGTGCTTCCCTGGCCACACCCAGGCCTCCCCCAGCTGCTGTTCTTGACCTCTCCCAGGTCAGTAAAGTCTGACGTCTCCACTGCATGAAAGGGCGCTTCTTTTGGCTACTCAGAGGTGCATTTTGCTTTCATGAGTTTCCAGCTCCTGAGCAGAAAGCTGGGCAGCCAGATAGTGCTGAAGGGGTACGGCGTTCAGCATCACACGGGCTCCAGCCCAGGTCTTGCCTCAGGGTCCCGGCCAAAGCACAGACAGGGAGCAAGCACAGCCACCCCTCTCCCCTGCCCAGACATGGAAGCTCCTGAAACAACTCAGGCCCTCCCCCTGGAACTCCCTGTCCATAAAATGGGGACAATGGCACTAAACCCCCAGTACTTGTTGGAAAGATGATAAAATAGGGCCCCAGCAACAGTGGCTCTCGTTTTGAGACAAGCAAGGGTTCCTAACTTGTATCTGTTTGATCCATGAGGGGAGTTGGAATTAGCAGTGTCCCTGTTTTATTCCACTGACTCATTTTCTGATGTTTATTTCACTCATTATAACAACTGGCAAATTCTGCTTGCTGTAGGCACATGTAGCTCATTTAATTTCACAAATCCCCTATGCTGTCAGTATCTTCATATTACGGCTGCAGGATGGGAGGTTCAGGAGGCACTTACCAGTGCCAGGAAGGACAGCAGCGTCAAACCTCAGGTTCTGACAAGGGTCACAGGAGGTTCTGGTTCTGCCCACTGTGCTTGGCAGGTCCTCACCCCTGCCCCAGGGAAGTGCCTCGAGGGCTTTAGGACGTGTAGAGAGACATTTTTAGGTGCCATAGTCCCTGGGGAATGGGAGAGGCTGCTCTCACTGAAGGCAGCTGGGTACTGAGTGGCACAGCGGTGACACACAATGAGGAATCCCCCCGCTGCCATGCCGGGGGTGCTCAGGAGAGAGCCCCTGGGAGGGCTGCCCAGAAGTGTCCCAGCTCCAGCCTCCTCTGGTTCTCATCTCTACCATGTGCGGCTTGTCCCTGATGGTGTGAGCACTCTGCTTTGGGACAAATTTATTTAAAACAACACAAAAAAACAAACACTGAGAGCCTACTGGAATGCTTAACTCCACTGAACCAAAATTAGTGTCTGTGACGAACAGCCTGAGGTGCCTTTGGAGCGCGGTTTAAGCTCACACAGTTGCCGTCCATGGCTATGGAGCCCCAGGCACTTTCTCTGAGTGCACAGTGGCTCTCAGTACTCCTCAGACACCGCACCACCTGCTTGGCCACGGCCACACTGGGCCCCAGGACCTCCTCCCTCTCCAGCCTCCCACCACTCCTAACCAACTGGGCGTTGTTCTTTCCTTCGAGAGCCCCCAACCCATCTAGAGCCTGCCTGCCTGTCACCGCAGGTCATGAACCACGCCCTGCTGGGCAACCGGAGGGCTATCGCGCAGCTGTCCGTCAACCTGATGGAGGCCACGCTGAAGCAGGAGCTTGAGAGCCGCCGCCGCTGGCAGGACCTGATCGATACCTGGAAGGCTCTCAAGAAGGGCGCCCTGGTGCAGACCTTCAGGTCCGTGGCCACCCGCACCGCCCGCAGCCCTTGCCCCAGCTCCCCTGGCCGGCCGGTGGGCAGTGGGGTGGCATTCTCCCTCCCTCCGTGACGTCACTTGAAAGTGCTGTTGTTTTGCTGGTGGTAAAAGTAAAAGTAAGAATAGAGCAAAAAATACAGATGCAATGTAAGATCACCACTAACCCTTCATCACAGCGAGGAGGACCGCTGGTATTTTGGTGTATTTCCTCACGGGCTTTTTAGAGCCACAGGCACGTGCAGGTTTCTGAGCAGTGCGGACTGTTTGGAAACACCGGTCTGGCCGTCTGCCCCGTTATCTCTCTTACCATTACATGTGGCCCTGCGTCACTGGGCCCAAAACGAAGGCTGTTCCTTGGCTTCGATACCTCCCTCCCTGTACTGGGGAATTTCCCCCGTGGGAGGGCAGGGAAGGGAGGGCCCATCTCCCTGCTTCTCTGCCAGGTGGCACTCTGTTAATGCTGACAGGAGGGTCCTGGAGCTTTTGGCCAACACGCAAGGCTTTCTTTTGCAAAGAAAATAACACCTTGGGCCAAGATGCCTGAGGACACCCAAGTGTGTCTGTCCGTCTGTGTTGTGGGTCTGGGGGTGGGAGGCCCGTCTGTCCGTCTGCATTTCCAGATGGAGAGCACCAGTCTGACACTGAGGGTGAAGGAAAGTGTACTGAGACCTGGCTCCACCTCTACTTTTCTTGTGCCCTTGATCTAGCACTTGAACATATGGAGCCTTTCTCTCCTTGTGCAAAGCTGGCACCATGGTGGACCAGTGATAGGGTTTCAGCGGTGGTCAGTATGATGCTGTGCATGACAAGTGTCAGATCTGGGCCTGGGAGGTTGTTACAAATGCCGATAGTCACCAATAGTGATGGCAGGAGCTGACATTTCCTGGGCATTTCCCATGGGCCAGGCATAGTGCTGGGGGTGCTTAGCTTGCAACACCTTGCTGGGTCTCTGTCAAGCAGGTAGAGGAAGAGGAAGCAGATTCAGGGCGCGGGGAGTGACTTGCCTAAGGCCCCAGAGCTGGCAGGTGGCAGTCAGGACCCTCATCTGGATCTGCGCCTGCTGGCCCCACTCTCAGTGCCGGAGCCTCGCTGTGGGTCCCTGGGCTCTTCTCCCCCACACCTTCCCTTCATTTCTCTGTGTCCCAGAGATCCAAGGTGGGAGGAGGGGCTGGGACTGTGTAAGCATGCTGGGCTTCTGGATGTTCTTACCACAGGCCTCATCTCCTCTCTCCCGCCCACCTTGCTTCCCCTCTTTTCTCCATGGTACCAACACGTCTGTACACCCAGTGAGTTCATGGCCAGTGAGAGGATCCAGGCTCCTCCAGCCGTGAAGAAAGAGCTGGAGAGCCTGCTGAAGAACCAGAAAGCCCTGCAGAAAAAGCGGCTGAAGCATGTCTGCACCATCTGGTACAGCGGGACGGGTCCCCAGGGAGGGGTGCCTCTGGGCGGCCTCAGGAGAGGCAGGCAGGGTCCCCATCCCCAGCACGGACATTTCCCCTGCAGCATCCTCCAGACCAGGCCATCGTCTCCTGGTTCTCTGGCCCTGGGCTGGCTGCCTGGGCCCACGAGATGGGCTGTTCCAGCCCCCAGGGCAACAAGAAAGTTTAGCCTGACTGTGCCAGAGAGTTTGGAAGGGGTCAGTGGCAAGGCGTGAGGTGGGAGGACAGCGGTGGGGAGAAAGGGGCAGGCTAAGCAGGCGGACTTGTCCTGAGGGCAGTGGGGGCAGCGTGGCCCTGTCAGCTCAGTGGTTTGGAGGGTGCACTGGAGGACTGAGGCTGGGGGCCTCGAGGTCAGTGAGGAGACTGCTGCCATCAGACGGGAGCCCTTGAGATGCTGTGCACACGCACCCCCACCCCGACCTGGGTCTGGCCAGTCCCAACCCCACAATAAGCTGTGTGGTGGGAGGTGCACTGAGTGTTCTAGACCCTGGAAGCCCACTCACTGCCCGGCGAGCCTGTAGCATCCATGTTTACCAGCAGGATGGAGCCTGTGTGGGCCTGCAGCCTGGAGACACTTGAAGTCTTCCCTGGCCCCTCCCACCCCGGTGTTCCTGGGACTCCCCGCATAGAGCCTAGGGCCTGCTAGGAAGTGAATGACAGATCCTCACGTGGCCACCCCTGTGGCCGGTGCCTCCCCCTCCACGTGCAGCTACATTTTCATGCAGGTGTAACATGAACAAAGTGGATAAAAACCTCAGTGCAAGGAAAAGTGCTTCTACTGTTTTCCATAGCTGCACTCATTTCTGCCCCCAAGCCCGTTTGTTAAACTGAGTGAAAGCCAGTACTAGGCATCCACCACCCTGCTCTGTCTGCACCTCCCGGTCCCTGTGCTCCGGCAGCCCCTCTGCAGGCCAGGTGGGGCCCCAAGAGGGAGTTCTCCCAAGTCCAGGAGGAAGCCCCAGGGATTTTCTCGGACCCAATAAGCATATGGGCATGTAATTTAAAAACAATTTTTCAGTTACATTTGCACTTCGGAGTAGTGTGAGATTTACAGAACAGTTACAAAGACAGCCCACGGCATTCCCGTGGGCCCCTCACCAGTCCCCTGCTGTGTCGTCTCAGGCCACCCCCCTCTGGGGCTGTGTGTGTCACAGCTAAGGAGTCACCATGATGCCTTCCTCCCGTTAGCTGATCCCGACTTCTCCAGGTTTACGTTCTTCCCCTGATGCCCGTTTTCCGTTCCAGGACCCAACCCCGGGGCACCTCGCAGCACACGGTGTGATGTGTGGGCCTGAGGTGGTGCAGGGTAAACTCCCGAGCCTTCCTTTTGCTCTTTACTGCCCACGACCATCCTGTCCTGGCATCATCATTAATAGCATCCCCCACTTTCACTGTCAGAAGTGTCCTGGTTTGGACAATAAGTCATATGGTCCCTTTAGTCATCGGCACCTTTTCGTATTATTAAACACCACCCCAAATTTAGTGGCTGAAAACGACAGCCATTTCTCGCCTCTCACGATTCTGTGGGTCTGTTAGGCAGTTCCTCTGGTCTGGGCTGGCTGGGCTGGGGGACCATCGTCAAGGACGGCCTCCCTCCCACGTCCAGAGCCTCAGCTGTCCCTCTCTGCACGTGCTCTCCTGGCCTCCAGGAGGCTGAGCCGGCTCACAGGCGGGTGAGGGTGGCACAAGATCTCCCTGCCGGAAGTGCTGAAGCCTTTCCCAGCCTCAGCTGTGATCCCTGTGCTAATGTCTCATTGGCTGAGCCCAGTGGAGTAGCAGACCCCACCTCCTCATGGGGGGCCAATGATATGTGGCCACTTCTGCATCTGCCACACTTTTTAAAAGACTTCACGAGAGGATTCACTGTACTTTACTCAGACAATTCTCTGTTGGTGGATAAGGTGGTTGGCTTTTTTTTTTCTGCTTATAAACAGCAATGTTAAGCGACCATCTTAATGTGTAACTTTGTATACATTTTATACTGTTAGATCAGGTTCCTAGAAGTGGCTTCTTTGGTCAAGAGATGCAAGCTGTTTGTCTTTTCCCATTAGGAAAATTCGCTTTTACTGTCTAAGTGATGGGCTCGTTCATGTGAATAGGCCTTGTCATGGGGTGTGTGCTCGGGCTGTTTCTTTGGTGTTTGCACTGAGAGTTCTACCTCGAGCACGTTCCCGGAACGCGGAACCGACTGTGACGAGGGCACGTTTTATTCCAGCGTGGCTTACTTGTCACACCTTCCTTCCCCAGCGACCTTCTGCCCCCCAATTACACCCAAGATCAGCTGGCTGAATGGCATTCTGCTTTCAACTCCCTGAATAAGCAGCTTGGTGAGTGAGGTTTAGGGGATTTCACTCGGGTCTCCCCAGAACTCTGTTCCAGTGGCAGCTTTGTAGCATTTTCAGCTTGCAGGTCCATCGTCCGAGAGTTGGAAACTCAGGAGTGGGTGGCACGTCCCTCCTGGGGGAGACGGGTGCGAGGGTGGAGGGAAGCGTAAGTTCCAAGGGCTTGTACTGGCTCTCTGAGACCTGGCCTGCAGAGCCAGGAGAGCGAGGAGAATTTGGGGGAGCTCAGCAGCCCTGACTCAGGCGCTTGATTGGGCAGCAGACGCTTCCCTTTGTGAAGGGGAAACTCCCATTTCTAATCTCCCCTCTTCCTCTGGAAGAGCAGCTGACATGTTTTGTTTCTGCCCATGGAGACACCTACCACACCAACTGCATGACACAGCTCCGCTCCCAGTACGAGAAGATCTGGCAGGAGTGCCTGGCCTACGTGCAGAAGTGCAAGGTGGGCGTCCCGCTGGCAAGCCTGAGGAGGGGGGCACAGGGCTCGGCCTGATGGCCCCTCCCTGGCCCGCCCCTGCCTTTCTCTAGCCTGGATCCCCTGCCTTCCTTTCTCACGTGCCCCTGGCACGTGGGTATTCTTCACTGGCTGTGGGTATTCTGCAGCTCTTCCCTCTGCCTGTCCCCGTCCCCACCGGTAATTCCCTCCTCCGGGAAGCCGTCCTGATCGCACAGAGTTCTGTACTCTGGCTGCCTCCGACTTCACCCTTGACACGCGCCACGTGCAACACTTGGCATTGCTCATTCAGCGAGGCCGGTCGTATCCAGGGGTTATTTCCAATGCTCCGCCTCTGTGACTGGTGCTGCCACAGCTGCCACCCCCAGCTTTTCTCTTCTCCCCGCACCCCTCCGTTAGAAGGGCAGCCAGGGGGTTTGCCCACAGAACCCCTCAATGACAATGCCTGGCTTTCTGGGGCAGAGGATATATTCTGTCAAAATGCCCTCTCTCCCTGCTTCTGTAGTCAAACTGTTCAGATGAAAACAAACAAACAAACAAACAAACAAGCCCAATCATTCTGAGGGTGGTCTCCCTTGCTGGCTGTGGCAGTAGGAGCCCCCAAGCACCCCTCCTGCCACCCTGAGAGGGTCCTGCTCTGCCAGCCCTCGTGTGGCTGCCCAGCTTTGCTCAGCTGCGAGGCTCAAGGTGAGCAGAGTGCCTCACTGCGCGATGCACAGTCCAGGTGCCGTCGCTGTTGCGGGCTGTGCCGCCCCCTGCAGACACCGTCCTTGGAGCCCCACAAGGTTCTGTACAGTGGGTGTCGCCAGCTCCATCTGGAGATGAGAAGACACAAGTTTGCAAAAAGCCGAGGCAATACCCAAGCCCATGGGGCCCTGCCCATTTGCTCTGCGGCTGTAGGGATGGCCACGTGCCTCTCAGCCGGCTCTTTAGGGGCATCAGACCTCAGAAGTAAAGCCTGGGGAGGGGTAAGAGGGAGATAAACCTGTGCGCTCTGAGATTCCTCCCCCCAGCCCACCGGCACTCACCTCCTCTCCCCTGCTGCTGCCTGGGACTCCCCCTGGAGCCCCACAGGCCCTTTGGCCCTGAGGGCTGATGCCTCGAGCCCATTCTCACTGCCCTTTGTCTGGCACCCTCAGGGGCTGTGTGCGTGCAGAAGTCCTCATGTACCCCAAGGGTGCATTAAGCCCGACGGAGGACACTTGGTATTCCCCTTTGTCAACACTGGAAATACACAATTACAGACAAATTTTTAATTCAGGGGAGGCTTGTTATTTTAGATTTTATGCATAAACCAAGGCTTTATTAATATAGCGAGCCACTTGCAAGCAAGCACAGCTCAGTTACAGGAAGCGGGCGCCTGTCCGACCTGCAGCAGTGCCAAGACCGCACACGCAGGGCGGCGGGCTGTGTCTGGGGGTCTGCAGTAGGGCAGGTCTCAGTTCTGGCCCCCTCACGTGCCAGGGGTGTGGCCGCCAGCAAGTCCCTTCACTTTGTTGAGACTTCGTTACCTCCTCTCTCAAAATTGGGCTGATGAGAACACCTGGGGGGAGGGGTTGCATTCAGTGAGACAGGGAGGCACACACAGCACCGGCCACAGCGACAACCATCTCCACTGCCGTGAGGGTTTCCCCGAGGTTCTCGGGAGGGTGGGGCAGATCTCGGGGCAGGACCAGGCAAGTGAGGCCCCCACCAGCCCTCAGCCAGGCTCTGCCTTGACCCCTGCAGACGCAGCTGCTGGACTGGAAAGCCTTCACTGAGGAGGAAGCGGAGAGCGTGGTGAGCCCATCCTTCTTCCAGATGGTGGCAGCGCTCCAGAGCAAGGCAGAGGCGGAGCTGGAGTCCTTGGACGTGTGTAGATGGGGACCCATGTGACCGGGGAGCAGGGAGGGACCACCCGGGGTGCTGGGCTGTGAGAAGAACCGGATTCCAAGGGCCTCCAACTCTCCCGTCATGAGGGAGTCCTTTTCCCTCGCCGTGGCCAACCCCTCAGAGCAGCCCTGGTGTGCCGGGCACTCCAGGCTCTGCCCCTGACTCCCAGCCACCCCCCAACCCTGGCACCAACACCCGACTCCACGGGACCAGTCTCCGGCAGTAAGTGTGCCCCGGCCCCTGCTCCGTGTGGGTGCAGAAGGGCCACGGGAGCAGTGGGCCCCTGGACTGAGGTCCGCTAATGTTTCTGCAAGGGACCAGAGAGTGAGTAGTTCAGGCTCTGTGGGTGGTCATGTGTCTGTAACAACGTCTTACTCTGCTACCATCACACACAGCAGCCCAAGACAACAAAACAAATGGGTGTGGCTGCATTTCAAGAAAACTTTCTTTGTAAACACTGATGTTTGGATTGTATATAATTTTCACATCATTAAATATCCTCTTCTTTAAAAAATTATTTTTTGCCCCAGCCATTTAACAACATAAACTCTGTGCTTAGCTCCCAGGGCCAAACTGAAAGGGATGGAGGACCACTTTAGCCCACAGGCCAAGTTTGCTGACCCCTAACACTGATGAGAGCATAAGGCAGATGTTATTTAAAGGGGGAGGGGTGCGGATTTAGCAGAGTGTGGGTCAGACCCAGATGTTGAGGGTCAGGGAGCTCCACAGAAGGAAAGATGCCCCATGACCCAGACGGGTGCAGCCACCTGAAGGCCCGGGCGCTTTCTAGGGCGGTTCCTCTTTCGTTTAAACCCAAACTCCGTCTTATTCCTGTCAGGGACTTCAGTGCACATGAGACTTCAGGGAAAGCCAGACCAAGGGTATGACCTTGGGCTGACTGGCAATGCTGTCCCAGAGGAGGGAGGGCCATGAGCCAAGGTGAGGCCCAGATGATCTTGAGTGATGGTGTCTAGTCAGTAATGGCCAGTCCTTGGAGACACGAGTCCTCCACTGTTCAGTAAGGGAGCCTGGTAAGTGGGGCCTTGCCCTCGCCCTGGGGTACTTGGCACTCAGGGCCCCTTCTCTGGGCTCTGCCACTGCAGAAATCCTTTGAGGCCCTCTCAAAGCGGGCAGAAGGGCAGAGCTCGGACCTCTTCAGCTACTTCCAGGAGGCCGTGCAGCTGTGGGAGGCCCACCGGGGGGTGCTGTCCGTGCAGGAGCTGGAGCTGCAGAAGCGGATGGAGCAGCAGCGCCAGAAGCACAGCCTGGAGAACCAGGTGTGGCTCCCAGCCCCCAGGGCAGCCCCCACAGAGAGGAGGGAAGGGCCACACCCCAATTGTCAGCTGCCCAAAGGCTCTGCTTGGTGACCTATGACCTCAGCCAGGATTCAAGTGCAAAAAAGAAAAAAACAACTGGACCCATGCTTCATGCCATTAACAAAAATTATTCTCAAATGTAAAACCTCAAGCTAGCTATAAAACGTGAGCAGATGCGGAAATTGAAGCTCAGGCTGGTCATGGGACTTGATGGGAATGGAAGAAATTTCCCTGAGTCAGGTCTGGGCTGTACAATGGGTCCCTGGATCCAAACATGTCTGCAGGGGAGCGTGTACAAGACAGACAGGCCGAGGGCATAGAGCGTCTGCCTTTGGCAGTGAGCTGGCTCCACCCCAGCTGCATTTATACCGTCTAGGAAGTAGAGGGTGTGTGCTCAGCATCTGATGTCAGTGCGACTGGTGAGAGTGAGGGGCAGGTGGCTGGGCCAGGCGGGTGTGAGGGACGTGTCCCCAAGGAATCCCATCTGAGCTGGGTCTCCAGGAATGTAAGGTAGACAGAGAAGAACCTTCCGGGCAGAAACAGGAGCCCAGAGGCCTGGAGGAATGCCCTTGTTGTAGGAAAATAAAAAGCCCTAGGCGCCTGGGCCCCAGTTCCAGGGGCAGGATATCTGCGTGTCACTGGGGACCTGGTAGCTCCCAACTGCTTTGTCCTGTTTTGGGGTTGGCCGCCAGGCCCAGGAGGCCCTCCTTGATGAGCTGTTGGACCAACTGAGACAGCAGAGCAGTGAGGCAGCCCTGAAGTCTCACCTGGAAAAGGCCAAGGATTTTCTGAAGAATATAAAATGCAGGTAGGCAGACCAGAGCCCAGAAGACAGAGGGGGGTGACCTGGGATTCATCATATTCAAGGTCAGAGGCTGCCTGCTGGGGAGCCCAGGGGCGTTCCCAGCAAACTAAAGATGAAATGTCGACTCCAGCTTGAGAATGCCGTGGTCCTTCATGGCTCTGCTGTCAGTCAACACAGAAGCTTCCAGGGAGAACTTTCATCAGAAAAGCTTATGGAGGGAGGTTTCAAGGCCCTGTAGTTTAAAGGTCAAGAGCATGGGCCCTCCTCTACCTTTAAAATACATGCTCTTTGTTAAAGAAGAAAAAGTTAACCGATACAAACATGTAGAAAATTTCCCCTCATTCCTGCCCAACTCCTTTTTATGGGCATGTACCATATGCATGGGTATATAGATATAGTGTTTTTTAAACAGGTTGGATCGTACTCTGCAAATTGTTTTATAACTGCAAATATGTTTCCATTTTAAATCACCATGTGGAATGTATTATTAACATGGTTGCTTCATAATGATTTAACCATCCCCCCCAGTGGATTAGCTTTTTAAGGTTGGTTCCAGTTTTTCAGTGTTGAAAACAGTCCTCTGTGAACCGGCTTGCATCTCTGCGCCTCTGTGCACCCTGTTCTGTGGGGACCACTCACAGGACAGAAATGGTGTTGCCGATTGTTTGTAGCACTTAGAGTCAGAGTTATGTCTCGAGGCAGATAAGTAGCCCCCTGAGCCTTGGTCTGCTGACCTGGGAAACAGATAGAAGTCTGGGTCTTGAGGCATTAGAGGGTTTGATGGGATAATATCGGTGAAGTTCAAGAACAGGGTTAGGCCTGTGGGCAGGAAGCGGGAACCCACGTTAAAACAAGCAAAGACTCTCGTGCGCTTTCTAAATGTTCTACAAAGTATCAGTCCTTGTATGGTCAGAAAAACAAACCAAGGACTATTATTGTAAAAAGAAACACATGCAGCATCTCTGTACAGAGGTAAATGCCAAAATGCAGTCCAGCTCTGGGGTCAGGGGCTGGACTTTGGGCTGGGGTCTCCCACGCTCAGCCGAGCCCTTCTTAGATGATGGTCTCCTGTTCCTACCTTCCAGTTACAAATCCTTTCATGCCCTCTTGACACAAGAAGTGATGGAGTACTCAGCAATCATACTGAAAGAACTCAACTCCTACAGCTCCAGCCTCAGCCGACACTTCTATGTTCGTGAAGTCTTTGAACAGGTATGGAGAGGGAGGGACACAAGAAGCCCAGCCTCTCACTGAGAAGTAAAGGGTGACTTCTAGTTCTCATTTGCTTCGACTTTGAACTCCTCCCCTGACCCGTGTGGAATTAGGGTCTATGTCAGGACATCAAGGGGTTAAAAGCAGAAAGCATTTCTGAAAGAGATCACCTCTTTCTCAGATTAAAAGAGGTTGAAGGGCTCTGAACCCAGGCCTCTCGTTAGAATGGAGTTCTAATAAAAAGATTAATTAAGATGATTACTTGAAGTCCATTCACCCAGCCCACCACTGCCACCTAACCCCCTGAACACAGCTCCCACCTACCCACTGTCCTGCTCACAGGCCCTCCCCAGCTCTGCAGCCCCTATGAAATCCCACCCCAGCCCCTGGGAGACCCCAGAGGCCACCCCTCTGGCTCCCACCCTGACTGTCCCTGCTCCAGCCCACTCCTCGCTCTCCCCCTGTGCCCCGCCCTCCTTATTCTGCTCCTCTGCCTTCCTCCTCACACTCAACCCCCCCTACTGCCAGTCCACTTCCAGTGACGAGTGCACCGTCCACTCAGCCTGACCCCCCGCGTCACCCTCCTCACCCCGTCACTTCTCCTCTCTCGGGGAACTTCCACACTAGCTGCTGCCGAATGCAGAAGTTCAGAGCACCTGTTGAAGGTGTTCCCTGAAGGGCAGGTGTGCCTTACTAACTTATATTCCGCTTGGATTGCCCTCAGCACAGTGTCTTACACAAAATTCAGATGTAGTACATGGCCCCGGGTAAAGCATGAGTACCCGGCATGTCCTGGCCTGACTCTGCCAGAGGCGGACGCTCTCCCACACACCCAGCCAGAGTCCTGAAAAGACTGGTGGTTGACACCGAGCCTGGCCAAAGCTTTCTCATATCCATGGGCTCCCCGCCTCCTCAGAGAATCCCTCCTCTAGGCAGGGGCCTCTGTTCCGATTGCTAGTGGATGAATGTTCCGCGTGGCACCTGCAAGTGAGGTGCAGCCCAAGCTCCAGGAGGGTGAGCTCACCATCCACCCCGCGAGACCAGTCTGGCCGCCTGGCTGAAAGGATAGGACTGTCACGGTCCCCACAGCACAAGGTGGGTGCTGAGCCCCACAGGGTTTAAGGGTGACCCGACTTACGAGGAGCTGGGATTCGAATCCACACCTGCAAACTGCACAGCAGTACTGTTGTCTGTGGCGCACTGTGCCAATAGCTTCATCCAGGGGGTGGGGAGCGTCAACTAGAGGGCTCCCAGTCTCGTTGATCATGTTCACTCTGTGTGCTTGTGAACCCAGAATGAGCTGGGCGCAGCAGATTCGGCCCCGTTTATGCTTTCTAGCTCTTTGCCCCACATCATGACTGAAAATGTGTCAGAGTGAGATTCGATTCAATGAAATCCCACTGTGTGCTGATGCCCACTGTGTGATGAAAGGCCTTGTTCATGTGCCTGGGCTTAGGGAAGACAGTCCCCTGGATTGAGAACACCCCGCACTGGATATTGGGGGGAAGTAGGTCCTTTTACATCGAAAGAAAAGAGGTGCCCTTGGAAGTGGCGCCCAGGAGGACAGCAGCACTGCTCGCTCAGGGTCCTGTGTTCTTCCCTTGCAGAACCTGAGTGGGGATGTCATCCTCAAACTCCGAGAACCAGGTAAACCTGTCACACATTAAGTCCGATCCTCCCTGACTCCACCCCTGGGTACTCTGGGGCTGGGGACACCCACTTCAGGCTACATCGGTGACCCATCTCTTCTCTTGCTTTGGGGTCGGTCCTCCACAGAAGCATGTGAAAAGCATTTCCAGAACCGAATGAGAAAACTGAGGAGGAAGCAAAGGGCTGATGCGGAAATGAGCAAAAGTGAGGAAACCATCAGTGGAAGCCCAGGTTCCCCTGGGCCAGCAGAAGAGATGCAGGAAGGAGAATCTCAAGACACCGAGTTCTTCACGACGGGGGAGGTGGGAGGGAGCCAGCAGGAGAAGTCCGCCCTGAGCGAAGAGATGAATGAGTCTGGAGAGGACTCTGTTCAGGAATCAGAAGAAGCGCAGGTTGAAAGAGACAGCTCCTTAAAACCATCCCTGAACCAGGAAGGTGTCGCGGCTCAAGAAGAGGAGGAGGAAGAGAGGAAGGAGGAGGAGGAGAAGGAGGAGAGGAAGGGGAAGAAAGAAGAGGAGGAGATAGAGGAAGAGAGGGTGGAGGAAGAAGACGAGGAGGGGGAGGAGGAAGAACATGCGAGTTTGTCTACGGCTGAGGTAGGTCGGGCAAGGGGAAAGTGCGTTATATTCACTCTGTGTACCGTTAATACGAGCTTGAGTCCCCAGTGGCTCAGTCTCCCTGGGGGTACATGTGAAGCACGACAACAGTATGCACACCTTTTATTCGTGTCAACAGCGACCCAGTTCTTGCCGCACAGCAATGCTTTTTAAAACTCACCTCCCTCTCCCCACATCCCCCCCTACAGCCTTCTCGGAAGTCCCATGGCTTTCCTTGTTCTTTCCTCATCTTCTCTTTCCTGTTCCTCTTCATTGTATATATCAACTTAGCCTCTCCAGCCCTTCTCTCTTCCAGTGCTCTGGTCGTGTAAAATGAGTGATCTGCTCCTACTTGGCAGGCAGGGCTCTCCTTAGAGTGCAGGGAAGTCACTCTCGTGTTACTAAATCTTGTCTGACACATTCAGACTCACAGAACAGCAACTTGAATTTCATAATCATGAAATTGCAGAAGACTCTTTTCCTGTGTTGTGGTGGAAGAGTTGTCACACGAGACTTCTTTTTGAGCAAGGAGCTCACACTCCAATGCCCACAGGCAGGTAACAGGAAAGAGAGCTGGAGACCAAGTGTAGCATGGCGACAATGAGTATCAGTGGTAATGAGTTTTGTCTTAGTCCCTCTGGGCTGCCATACGAGAACGGTGTAGACTGGGCAGCTTATGAACAACAGAGATTTTTTTTCCTCACAGTTCTGGAGACTGGGAAGTCCAAGATCAAGGCAGCAGACTTGGTGTCTGGTGAGGGCCAGACAATGTCTATGAACATTTCCTGGTTCATAGACAGCCTTCTCCTCACTGTGACCTCACATGGTGGAAGGGGCAGGGGAGCTCTCTAGGGACTGTTTTATAAGGACACTAGTCCCATTCACGAGGGCTCTGCCTTTGTGACCTAATTACCTCCTAAAGGGCCACCTCCAAATACCAGCACAGTGATGATATGAATTTTGGAGAGATACCCAACATTCAGTCTGTGGCAGCTGTGCAATCATTACTCAGCTCTAGCTAACAATACCATGAAGGAATGGAGGCTCAGAATGGCCAGATTTTCTGATTTTTAAGAGAAATCTAAAATCCAGATTCTATGTGGAATTTCCTGATTTTAAAAGCGCCAAGTGAGCACAGAAACAAGTGCAGGCAAGATCCGGCTCTCAGCGTTACAGCCACAGGCATCCAGGAGCCTGTGGCCGGGCCCCCAAGTCTGTTTAATGCTATCAAGTCTAAGGTCTTGTTTTCTGCTTAGTCCGAAGCCCAGGAGGAGAATCTGGATGCTGTGTCCCTTGAGGACATGGACGTGGACATGGAGTCCTTCACAGTCTCCAGTGGGAACACATACTTTGTCTTCCTGCCCCTGGAACCAGATGAGGAGGACGGCGAGAGGCCCCATTCCAGCCTCTCTGTCACTCTCGCCGACGACACTTCCAATGCCAGTTTCCTGGAACAAGTAATAATTCCGTCTGCGCTGGTTTCAGAAATTAAGAGACAGTGAGTAGGAAACCCTTTTAGTCTCATTCTCTTGTCCTAAATTTTATTAACAAGGTGAAATATTTTAACAAAAAGTGGACTCATTTCAGCAGGTAAAAGGAAATGTATAGCCCAGGCTGGTGTGGCTCAGTTGGTTAGAGCATTGTCTCATAACTGAAGGGTTGTGGGTTCGATCCCTGGGCTGGGTGAACAATCTGTGGTCTGGGTGTGTCCAGGACACAGGCAATTGATGCTTCTGTTTCACATCAATGTGTCTCTTTCCTCTCTCTCTTAAAAAAAAAGTAATGAAAAAAATTGGTGTGTCCTCAAGGATAAAATTCTTTTTAAAAAAGGAAATGTTTAACTGAGGGTAGAGATGAGACATGGGATAAAAAATAGTAACTGTCCAGAAACTATTTGCAGTCCCAGATGTTCTCTGTGAAGACAACCTCCCGGCCTCTCCCAGGATGCCGTCCTTCCCTGGGCCTGGTACTTACACCATAGTGTTTTCTCTGCAAGATGCTCTGGGTTCTAGATCATGCCCCATCAGTAATCTTATCACTTCTAACTCTAAAATTTTTTTATAGATTAGACCATAGGTGTGAGTACATCAGTATGATATTTGGCTCTGATTATATGACACATTTATTGCAAGAAATGGGAATGTTGAAAAAAGTGCAATGAGGAATATAGAAATGACCCACAATTCTACCACCGAGAATTTGCCTCCCCTAACTCCCAAGTTCCTCGGCTCCCCTGTTTGAATTTGGGCCGAATGTGGAAATTTGCCTTTGGCTATAGGACAGCACGTCCGCTGCCCTCCTGACTCTGAGGTGTCATAGCTAAGACTGAGCAGCTAGCGATCACCCGGCTAGTCTGCCTCCCTCGTTTACACATGCGCAGGGAATGGAGTAAAGTCAGGCCTCTGTTCTCTCTCCTCCTTCACCTCACCGTCTTCTTACCTTGGAAATGTCTCTTGATTTGAACCTCACCCTCACCTTTCTCCATCACAGGACTTGGTCCTCTCCATAGTCCATAGAACAAAGGAAAGCAAGGACCACTGCAAGAGCTAATATTTATTGAGAGGATTTAATACTTTCAATAACTGTAAGAGGGGTACAACAACTAGCCCGTGTTACACATCAGGAAACCGAACCTCAGAGGGTTAGATATTACTAAGAGTTTTCAAAGGTGGTTTAACAGCTCACGACAGTGTGTGAGGAAGTTCCACTTGCTCCGTAGCCTCACTGGTGCCCGGCGTGGTCCGCTGTTTCATTTTAGCCATTCTGGTATCTGTGTGGTGGTGTTTCATTGTGACTTTATTTTGAAATTTTCTGATAGTGATGTTGTGAACCTTTTTATGTACTTATTGGCCATTTGGTTATTTTCTCTTCAAATTTTTTGCCCACTTTTTTCTGGTGGATTGTCTGTCTTTTTTTTTCTCATTGATTCATATGAGTTAGTTATCTCCTCTAGATATGAGGTGGGGGTTTTTTTCAGGTAAATACTTGGCAAATGTTCATTCATTCCCTCTCTGTACTTACCTTTTTAACTCTCTTGAAGGAGTGTTTTGATTAACAGAAATTCTAATTTGTAATGAGGTTCTAATGATCATTTTTTTCATAAGGGTTAGTGTCATTTGTGTTCTAAGAAATCTTTGCTTGCCTCAAAGTCGTGAAAATATTGTCCTACATTATCTGCTACAAATATTGTTTTGAACTTTCACATTTAGAAGTAAAACCCACGTGGAATTGATTTTGTTTATGGTGTAGGGCAGGAGTCCACATTCATTTCTTCCCCACACAGACAACTGGTGGACCCCAGGCTGTTTGAGAAGACGCCCCTCCCCCCGATGGCTCTGCTGTGCCCCTTCCCGCTGCTCTGTGTCTGTCCTTGTGCCACCACCTCACCTTGCTTGATGACTGTGTCTTTACACTGAGCTCTAATATCTCAAAGAGTAACTCTTCCAAATCTGGTCTTCTCCAAGATCGTCTTGACTATCCTTGACCATTGGTGTTTCTATATAAATTTGAAATCAGCTCATCAGTTTCTATAAGACGATATCTGCCGAAATTGTTTTGTTATCTCATTGAATCTAGAGACAAATTTGGGGAGGGCTGACATCTTGATAATACAAAAACTTTAAAAGGGAAGAAATGAGAAGCTGAGAAAAATATTTGCCAATTCACGTCACAGTCAAAGGACTTCCTGTCCCCAGTATGTCAAGAGAGCTTCTGTGTAAAGAGATTGCTAAGAAAAAAGCAGCTACATAGAAGAGAAATGGGCAAAAGACATGAAAGGATAGTATGAAGAAAGATTAAATAATCTTGAACAAATGGAAACAGACTCAATCTCAGGCATAGCATGACAAAGTTGTCAAATTTAAAAGCTTAATAAGTGTGCTCGCTCTGGCAGCACATATACTAAAAACTTAACACTCTGAGGCTGCGGAGAAGTAGGAAGCGGTCCTCACTGCTGATGGGAATTCAGGTTCCTTGCAATGGAAGCACTTTGGACACATCTTCAAGAATCACACATGCATTTTAGCCTTTGATCTGACACTTCCAGTTCAGGGAACTTATCCTATAGAAATGCTTCTACACTTGACCTGTGTACAAGGTTATTCATTATAGCCTTCTTTGTTTTTTTAAAAAATATTTTATTTATTTTTCGAGAGAGGGGAAGGGAAGGAGAAAGAGTGGGAGAGAAATATCAATGTATGGTTGCCTCTCATGCGTCCCCTCCTGGGAACTGACCTGCAACCCAGGCATGTGCCCTGACTGGGAATCGAACTGCGATACTCTGGTTCGCAGGCCCGCGCTCAATCCACTGAGCTACGCCAGCCAGGGCTATAGCCTTCTTTGTAAGAACAAATGGTGGAAAACCACCCAGGGTCTTCCAGCAGGGGTATGGTCAGAGAATAGTGGTCCACTCATATCAAAAACTACAGTAGAGACGGCAAGTAAAATAGGGAAGAAGGAGTGAAAGAGCGAAGTACTTTATCAACTGGAAGGATCTCTTCCCGGCACAACTGCTGGCAGGCTGACCCTCACTGGTCTCTCCCCCAGACTTCGAGCTGGCTTTTTCGAGCACTTAGAGGAGTGGTTTGACCAATGTTCTCTCAGTGCCCAGGACGTGGTGGCCAACAAGATTGATGAGCTGGAGTCAGAGCTGGAGCTGCGTCTGCACCTGCATGAGCCAAGAGCCCAGCACATTGAAAAGGACATCCACAATGTCAGGGCAGGTACAGACCCTGCCTGGGGAGGCTGCTCCGCTCCAGACCCTGGGGTCCACACCCCCACAACTCCGCACTCGTTAGCTGCCCCTGCGTGCATCACATGACATTTGTCTTGTTGTTACCGCACCTCGGAAGATGTGAGCGCGGGCTTGCACCACCCAGGCTGGCAGGGAAGGTGGTGCTCAGAATACTTGTTCAAGGTTTTTTAAATTGTTTTTTTTAAAGGGCATTAGATACTGAGATGACAAGTAGTATTCTTTTGTAGTTGTGTGGACCCCAGCTCTGTTCACATACCTGTCAGATACACACCTGCATGGCAGATGCTTCAGAGGCAAACCTGTTGCTCAGAAATCAGAGCTATCAGGCTTGGCCACTGTAGCTGCGTGACTCTGGGCAGATTACCCAACTTCTCTGGTGCATCTCTCATCTGCAGAAGGGGACATTGTTGGTGGCAGGGGTACAGTCAGGAGTCATGATCACCTCGTATCAGACAACAGCCTCCAAAAGTGGTAGCCATTAATTTCAGCATATGATTTATAACACTTAAAAAAGGTGCCTTTCCTTTCTTAGGCAGAGGGCTCTATTGATGGGTGGGGGCACACTTTCAGTTGGATCCTTCACTCGTGTTGCACTTAAAGCTCCATCATAGACCTTCAGAGCTCGCAGACAGTCCCCACATGATCCCACCCAACCTCCTGTTGCCAGGGGCTTGAAATGGTTGTGGAGTCAGGCAACCTGGCCTAGAGTCCCCGGGTCTGTGGCCTAAGGAGACCTGGTTGACTTTTGGAACTTCATTGTCTGCATCTGAAAAATGCGCATTAACTATAAATATAAATAAAGTTGCTTTCTGAAGCCTGGTCTCCCTCCCCTGCCCTGGCTTCATGGCCCAAAGCACAGTGTGGAAGTCAAGGCCAGAGAAGCCATGTCCCAGAGTCACAGTGTTCCATTTGGATGGAGCTGAGACCACACAGCACTTTTACCACGCCAGCGGTGGGAGGCCAGTCAGGGTGGTCTGGGGCTGTCCACTGGCTCTAAAGGCCCATGATGGAGCTTTTGAAGCCAAATCCTGGTTCTTTTTACTATACCTTAGAAGCCCGTTGGAATTCAGGCTCATTGGAGATGAGTAGTCACTGACATAGAGAAACAACCCCCAGCCACCCAGCTGTGGGCCGAGTGTTTTTTCCCAGACCCTCTATGGAGACCCCTGCCCTCCCCAACACCTTGCCCCCATCCTACCTGCTCCCAGGTTGCTCCCCTGGGACTGTCCCTCTCTCGGACCTTGTTCCCTTTGGCTGCAGGCAGGGTGTCTCCACCAGCAGAGACCTCCCTGCCCACTGCTGGAAAGAGCCTCCTCTCCAGTTAGAGACTCTGGAGCAGACTCAGGATGGCCTCCTTGAGATCGGCGCCCATCCCTAGGCAAAGCCCTTGTGAGGGCCGCAGAACAGAATGAGGAGCCTTGGCCTGAGCGGTCCCTCTTCTGCAGCTGGCCCAGGAAGGGAATGTCCTGAGGTGACTCTGCATCCAGAGCACCTCAGCTCCCCTTGTCCTTTGCAGCCGAGCTCTTGCTTCATCAAGAGCGTTTGGCCAGCCACTGTGCTGGGGTGATGGAGGCGCTGAAGAAGGAGAAGCTGATGTTCTCCCAGTTCCAAGAGGAGCAAAACACAAAATCGGAAAACTTCCGGCGCAAGATTCATGACATGGAACACATCTTCCTGAAAGCCACCAAGAGCCACAAGTAAGGGCCCTGGCCTTGTGCACCTAGAACCCAGCCAGGTGGCTGCTCTCAAAGGAGCAGTCCCTCCCCAGTGGATAAAAGAGCCAGTTTTCCAGACCTGGAGCGACCTTCCCTTCAGTTCACCTCTTCACAAGTCTCAGAGTCCACCTGTGTGAAACACATCCCTGGGGGCTGGGGGTAGGGGAACAGCCAGAGAGAAAAAAGGATGCTGGTGGTCAGAGTGCAGGGATGCCAGTGACGTGCCCCAAAACGTCCATAGTGGGAAGGACCACTTCCATCCGGGGTGATCAGGAAGAGTTTTCCTGCAGGACGTCCCTGGGCCTGGGGTGGAAGAAGTTGGGGGCAGGGGACAGAATTCTCCCATCAGGAAAGGGCAGTGGCCCATCTTGGGGTAAGGATGTGCACAGGGCAGAGCAAGGGGGTTCCAGGAAGGTCATTCAGGGATTTGTGAGGGAGGCTCTTATGTGCTCAGAGAGGCCTCAGGTAATGGGAGGAGCTCTTTGAGGAGAGCACCAGGGAGCAGGAGCCACATCCTGGGAGTTAGAGCGGGCATGCTGGAGGGAGGATGAGGTCCAGGAGGGCCTGGGGTGTCTCCTACCAATTTGGGGGCAGGGGCCTGAGGGAAGTGCCCTCTGATCCAGTACCTCAAGAGCTCCACACTGTGTCCTGCACACGCCAGGATGGTACACTTCCTTCTAATGCCTCTTTTTCTACCCAGCTGGGCATGGCAGTGGAGCTGAAACAGCCTTCCAGGCTGCCCTGCCATGCCCAGGTCACCACCCTGCCCCTCCCGTGCTCCCCAGGCTGGTCATTCTCAGCAGCACAGTGCACCAGGAGCTGCTTAGCTATGTTGACGTCATCCAGGTGTCCCTGCGCAGCTTCCGCCAGTACCTGGAGGAGAGCCTGGGCAAGCTCCGCTTCACCAACATCGAGTACATCAAGCACTGCAGGTGGGACCCAGCACCAGGGGCTCCTGTGGGATACTGGGCGTTCTCTGGTGAGAGTTGGTCCCACCCCCCTTAATTCGTTGTTGTGACAAACTGTACAGAACGTAAAATCCATTTGAACCATTGTAAGTGGCAGTAAGTAACTCACAGTGTTGGGCTATCCTCACCACCATCCACCTTCAGGACGCTTTCATCTGTGCAAACTGAAACTCAGAACCCATTAAACATGATCTCCCCTCCCCCCACCCCTGGAGACCCCCATTCTATTCTCTGCCACGAATCTGACCAGTCCAGGCACCTCACTGTAAGTGGAATCACGCGTTTGTCCTTTTGCGTGTCTGGCTTATTTCACTTAGCAGGATGTCATCAACCTGCACCCATGTGTCAGAGTTCATTCCTCCTTAAGTCTGGATGTGATCCCATCATGCACACACACTACGCTTTGTTTCTCCATTCATCCCTCTATGGACATCTGGGTGGCTTTCCTACTTCTGTCCTTGACCTACCTGCACTCATTTTACCTTGATCTTGTGCTTTTCATCTAAAGCCTTATCAACCAGAGTGTTCGGGATGAATGGAAACTTTCCCATCTGATCAGTGGCTTCTATTTCTCCCAAATTATGTCCAGACTGTTTTCAGAGGGAGGCAACTTTTCTCGTGAAGAGATTGAGTCACTATGTAATCGACTAGAGAAGGAAGCTGCCCGGATAGAGTTTGTCGAAAGCTCGATCATGATCAACATGGAGAAGATGGAGAGCGAGTACCTGGACCAGGTGGGTGAGCTGCATCTCTGACCTTTAGCCAGGCTCCCAGGACACCTCGTTACAAGGTCAACAGGGCCAGTCTAGCCCCCCTTTCCAACCACTAGCTAAGCCTGTACCTCTCTGCTTCCGAAGCTCAACAGTTCCCAGTGAAGTCCCCCTCTTTTACTTTTTATGTCTCTTTCTAGGCCAATGATTTCATCAACAAGTTTGAAAGTAAATTCCATAACCTGTCTGTGGATCTTATCTTCATAGAGAAAATCCAGCGGCTGCTGACAAATCTGCAAGTGAAAATCAAGTGTGAGGTAGGTCAGATGAATTCTCCATCTGGCACGTATGTATCACACACAGATGCGTGCCGGCACTTCCTAGAAGTTGGGAACACCAGTGTGGTCCCCGCCCAGTGGGACTCACTCCAGCCAGGAAGACAGAGTAAATTGTCGTGGCTTCTTCACTGTGTTCTTAGGCACCGTGCACTAACTGACTTACTCTGATTAGCTGTGTTAGTCCTCGTGGGAACTGTATAAAGCAAGTACGTCTTTTAATCCACATTTTAGAGAGACCCACGCAGAGAGTGACTTAGCCAAGAACACAGAGCTCTTAAATGGCGTAGCTGAAACATGAATCCAAGTCAAAGAGGTCAAATAAACACCCTAGTTGTACACCTCAAAGAGCTCGAAAAAGGACAACAAACTATACCCAAAGTTAGTAGAATGAAGGAAATAAAGGTCAGATCAGAAATAAAATAGAGACTAGAAAAAAACAATAGAAAAGATCAGCGATGCTCAGAGCTGATGTTTAAAGACAAACAAAATTGACAAACCTTTAGCTAGACTAAGGAAAAAAAAGAGACAATACTAAAATAAAATCAGATAAAAGAGAAGACATTCCAACTGATACCACATAAATGCGGAGGGTCCTGGTTGCTCTGACCAGTTATAGCCGACAAGCTGAATAACCCACAAGAAATGGACAAATTCCTAGAAACACACCTGCACCCTCAACTGGTTCTGTGAGTCACCTATTCTATTTTGAACCCTTATCTATTTGACAGTTTCAAAAAGTCTCTTAGATTTACACTGACCAGGTTTTTGATAAGATTATGCATTTTCCTATCCTGGTTTCATTTTTTCCAGCACTTAATTCATTTCTCAGACAATACGTTAGGCTGAACATTTTCTTGATTTTCGAAATAGGTATTCTAGAGACAAATCTTGGAACCTCTGGTTTTTCTAGGTGGCAAAGTCCAATTCACAAGCAGATGGATTAAACTCTTGTCTGGAACAGCTTCAAAGCAAAGTAGAAATGTATCGAAACTCAAAGGGAGATAAAAAGGTACGTGCTCAGGAGGCGCTAAGCTATGACTGGTAAAGATGCTTCAGGCTAGAATCATAAACTGGGAATAAACTCACATCGTGGTCAAGATTTCTCCGGCACCGGAGCGGCCTCTGAACCTTCCTACTTAACCTGTGTTTTATTCTGTGGGATTAAGGAAAAGAAGAGAAACCAGCCACCTCCCCCAGCCCTCAGTGCCTCCCTGGCAGGCAGCTAAAGTCCAGTGAGAAAGTCTTTTCCGTTTCAGATTGAGTTAAGGTTTCATTGTTATTTGCAATAGACGACATTTACTTTTCTATTCTTACTGTTTTTTCTGTCATAGCAACACGTGCTTCTTGGTAAAAGTCCCAACAGCCACAAAGCGCAGAGTGGAGAACACACATCACTCAGGTTGTCCTCACTTCCTGCAGAGCCCCTCATGGCCTGTGTGTTTTTGTGCAGATGTTTCTACGCATCCCTTGCAGAGCAGGGAACACTGGTCCATCTGCTGTGACCCCTTCGATGGGCCCTTTAGGGACAGCTCTGCCTCCCCAGGGCAGAGACATTCGCTCTCCCACACTTCCTCACCTCCCAACCTCCCCTCTCCTCGTGGTGTCATGGTGTTGGGCAGGGTGCCAGGGCTTCGCACAGCCTCCTGGCCACGTTGGGGGAGCGCGAGCTCGGGTGGTCAGACGGTCCTGTGTTGGTGGGAAACGCCGGATGGACACTTGTGCAGAGCAGGGATCAGGAGACGGGAGAGAGGCGTCAGATGCATAGTGAAGGCCATGGGGACCAGGCTGGTACGGCCTGGGACGTGCGCTCACAGCCGCTTTGAGGAGGGCTGTCTGGCTGCTGGGTACAGAAAGGCAGGGAGGAAGGTCAGAGAGGGGCAGGGTACCAGGACTGAGGCAGAGAGAATAGTGGCCTGGACAAGGTGCCAGCAGAGACATGTTCCAATTCCAGAGCTGAGTGGAGGGGAGAATGGGCAGGACTCAGAGTGCGTTGGAGATGAAGGAAGTGGAAGAGGCCAAGGCGCCTCCCGGCCTGGGCCAGCTAATAGGTCAGTGGACGATTCAGGGAGCCATGTGTGAGCACTGCTGAATGAGGCACGGGAAGTGTGGTAACGGTGAACATCCTCACGGTGCTTTCCTGCACCCCTGTGGGCGTGGTCAGCGGGATCGCTGCTCCAGGCGTGTGGGTCCTTGACGTCGTCATCAGGACCCCTCCAGAAAAGCTCTGGTCGTTGCACTCCTGCACACCCGTGCCACCTTGGGCCGAACATTTCCTCCTGGATGTAGAGTGTTAGAGCTAGAAGAAATCCTAGGGGGCATTCTTTGTCCCCATCGCACAGATGAGGAGACTGAGTCAAGTATGTTTATATTTTTAAAGCTTTTAAAAAAAGGTTTATTTACTTTTAGAGAGAGGGAAGGGGAGGGAAAAAGAGAGAGAGAGAGAGAGAGAGAGAGAAACATTAATGGGCTAGAGATACATCTATTGGTTGCCTCTTGCAAGCCCTGAACCAGGGACCTGGCCCACAACCCAGGCTTGTGCCCAGGCTGGGAATTGAACTGGTGACCTTTTAGTTAGCAGACCGGTGCTCAATCCACTGAACCACACCAGCCAGAGCGAGTCATACATGCTTAAATCATTTGCCTAGAACACACCCGTAGAACCAGGAATTGAACTCGAGATGCCCCATCAGTTGAAGGATCTGCTGTCCCAGTGGCGCGGCCAACAGTCAGTCCGGTGTCCCCACCCCACCAGGTCCCTTCCTGCAGGCGAGGGGCGCCCATCACACCAGGAGGCACCCTTCCCAGCCAGCGCCCACTCCTGAGGTTCCGATGGAACTGGCTCGCCCTTCTGTAGCCTGCGTCCTGTGGTTTTCTTCTTCCATGTTCTCACCAGGTAGTGACCACAGAGGACGTCCGTGCCTCTGTCCAAGCTTGGAAAGAAAAACTGAACCAGAGGATTCACTACCTCAACTGCGGGCTGGACAGAGTGTCCACCACTCACGTGGATTTTGCTGTAAGGAACAGAATGGGGTGGCGGCAAGGGGTGAGGGACACCTGCAGGGCGCAGCAGACCCAAGGGAAGGGGCGCCCAGGTCCCTGCCGGCAGCAGGCCGACTGGGGAGCCTTGGAAAGACCACGGGCTGTGGGTCGGATCTGGGTTCAAATCCAAAATGGCCACTTTCCTACTTTGGCCTCTTAGGAGATCCCTCACCTGAAGGCCCCACCTCTTCTCCCCCGTCAGGGCCCTCGGCCCACCCCACCCACCAGCTCTCAGGGCAGCCTCACCTCTCAGCCTCTCCCTTCCCACCCTCACCCGTGTGCACCCACCAGCTTCTTTCTCCTCACCTACCCCCACCACCTCATCCAAGCCCCGGTCTCTCGCCCACCTGGTTGCCCTTATCCTCCTACCACCTTCCACGATCCGCTCCCTGAGCCACAGCCAGACCAAACCCTAGAAAAGGCCGGTCTGACCTTGTCACTCTCCTGCCCTCTGGGCAAAACCCAGACCCTTTCATCAGACCTGCGCAGCAGCCTCTGCAGTCCACCCTGCACGGCCTCCTCATTTCTCTGGTCTCCCTAAGCTGTCACTTTGCCCTGAGCCATCCCCCACCCCTGGACTGGTTGGCGTGTCCTGGCCCCAGAGGCACCTTGGCTTTCCCCAGGATCGCACAGATCATGCAGTGAGGTCTCATGTTAGGGACCATCTCCCCTTGACCATGTGCCCCAAGAGGACTTAAGAGCCTTGTCCCCCTGACCCCACACTCAGCCCCCCACACCTGGGTTCAAACACCAGAGGCTCTCAACCAACTTCAGGTGGTGGAGGGAGGGGGGCTCACAGAACCGATGGCGACATAAAGGGGCAGCCCTCGAGTGCCGCTCTGGTCCCCCTCGGGCCCTGCCTCCTCCCACTGCCATGTTCCGAACCAGCCCTTCCTTCTGTGGGCAGGCTCTTCCCACTGTGCCACCAGGACGTACCTCCATTGCACCACCCCTTCCATGCCTGACAAGATGGGGTTCAGGGGCCCAGCCAGGGTCTTTCCCTCTTACAGTCCAGTGCTGAGTCACAATGCAGAGTAAAATAGTGAACTGCTGGAGCAAGTGCTCACTGTGGGCCGCCACTCTGGCCCCTTCTCTAAGGTCCAGCTGGAGGAGGAATTGGCCACTCACTTATTCATGCATTCATTCATTCACTTGTCCATTGGTCACAGGCCAGTCGTACAGGTCTGTGACCCTCAGTCTCATAGAGGACACTGGAACTTTTCCTTTACAGTACTGGTCCCCATTGTGACCAAGGATTTATCTGTAGATGTGCATGTTAAATGTCTGTCTCTCTGACTGGGCTTTAAGGTCCATGAGGGCAAGGCTTATATGTGGATTCTTCACCCCATGTCCCGGGACCAGGCAGAGCCTTGCAGAGAACAGGAATGCAGGAAACATTTTTGAAGGTTGCATGCATGCATGCACGAACGAATGGCCCTCTAAAAGAGATAGGAGCATTACCGTTTCACAGAAGGGAAAGAGGCTCGAAGAGGTCAGGCAGCTGGCCTCCAGCCCCAGCACCTGAGCAAAGTGGTGCTGGAATGCAGACCCACCCTGTCTGACTCCCTGGCACCTAGGCCGGGCCCACACACTTGGGCCCTTCTCCCTGGCTTGCAGGACAATGTGCTCATTGACGCGGAGATAGGGAGTGACATCCTGGTGTCTTCAGAAGCCCTCGAAGAGGACAGCAAGACACGTGGGGTCACCCCCGAGTCCCTTGCCCATCCGAGCCGCATGGGGAAGCCCATGATCGAAGACCCAGCTATAGACGTGGTGAAGAAGATCCTGCAGTGAGTGGTCTGGCGGTGCACGCTGGGGCCCCGCCACCACAGCCCAGGCCCTGAGCCTTCAGCAGCTGGCCTTGGGGCCCCATGCCCTGCGTTCCCGTGGGAGCCTGCTTCTGAAAGCCTGTGGTCTTGAGCAAGGGGCCTCCCCTCTCAGAGCCTCAGTTTCCCCCTCTAAAATGGGGCTCAGGATAGGGTGGAGTTGCCTGGCGTTGTGTGCTAACTGGGGGTGGTGCCCGGCGCCTGGCCTGAGCTGTCCTCACCATCCCCGGGTAAGCCTCACATCCCTTCCTCTGGTTTCAGACTTCAGGACTCAAAATTCTCAGTTCCCTCCTCTGAGAAAATTCGATCGCAGACAGGTAGAGGCAAACAGGCCTGGGGTCTCGGGGCACTGGCGGTGGGGAAGCCAGCGGGGCCGCCCGGCCCGTCCTCACCTCGGGTCCTCTGCTTTTGTTCTGTGCACTCGTCACCCAAAGGCTTGAAGCGACAGCGGAATCAGGGAGAACACTCTGGGAAGGCCTCGCCCAGTGGCAATGTCACTTCTTCAGGGAGGTAGGGACGCTGGGCTGCCCAGGATCTCCCCTTCCCTGACCTCTACCCTGTCTCCCTAAAGGGAGGCTGGAGATCACCCTGCTGCTCTGCCAGAGTCTGTCATCAGAATGTGCTGCCTGTGCCTGCAGCTCTGAGACTCCGAGGGGCCCAGTGAGGGCCCGGCTCTGCCGCTGGCTTTGGTCACAGCTGCACTCATTCCTGCAGAGTGCTGGGCTCACACTGGCCTCCCACCAGAGAACCCATCTGGGATTGCAGAGGTTTCCATGGAGATGGTGGGTGGATCCAAGCCCTGGTACCTTTCTGCACACACAGTGTTGATCTGACTGAGGAACCCTAGAGATGACTCTCCTTGGTTGGCATCACAGAGCCATAGGAGGAATCCTGGGCATCTGCATTCTAGCTACGTGTGCTGCCCACTGTGCCCCGCTAAGGTGGTTAGACTCGTGGCTCAGTGAGCATGAGCCTTAGCTACCACTTAGTGTGGATTTTGATGACAGAAGCCACATGGCTAAGCCAGCTTTCTTGGGCTTCTGTGAGCCTTTGTTGATGTGCTTTAATTCTTGGGTTTGAGGAAGTAGCAGTGAGGAAGCTACTGCTTTGCATCCCTCTTCAGGTCATATGCAATGTGGAAATAAGCAAAGACCAACCAAATGAGAAAAGCAAAGACTATTCAGAGCTCACTCCAGCATGGGGGTCAACCACATCACTTGCGTTGTAGCGGAGACTCAAAAGCATGCGGAGGAATAGGAGAGCTTTACAGTGGAGAAGAGGAAGGGCTTTGGGCCTCCTGATTGGAAGCTGTTGGCACAGGAAGGGGGCGGGGCGGAGCATCCTATGTGATTGGTCAGGGGAACATACTTGGTTTTCTCTGGTCGGTTCTAAGTGGGAAGCAGGGACAAAACTTGGGAAAGCTGTCACCTGTTAATCAATTCCTGGTCGTTTGGGGGCCCGTTATGATAGACATTATTGTTTAGCTTTCTGAATTGTCACTAGGACAACCACTGGCTTCCTGCGAGTCAGATGCTGGGCTGGCTTCCCGAGTTGTTTGTTGTAATGAGGAGCTGGTTCTCCTGCAGGTCGCGGGTCAGACTTTTGTGTTTGTATGTGGTCCAGCCATTGTCCATCTGCATATTCAGTCTCTCAGAGGCTGCAAAACGAAATCCATGTTGCTAGGGCTGCCAGACTAACATTCAGGATGCCCAGTTAAATTTGAATTAGATACACTAGTATCTTAGTATACGTACGTACCAAATATGGCATGAGACATACTTACATTAAAGAAATTACTCGTTGATTATATGAAATTCAAGTTTCAATGGGCATGTTGTATTTTTACTTAAAAATCTGGCTACCCTACATGTGGCTCAACCTATTTTTTTGGCGGGGCGGGGGGAGCTTACCAGAGGGTAGCAAGGATACAAATGTTTAGGCCTGAGCCCCGATTCCCCACTCCCCCTTCTCAGTGGCCCTGGGGTGGGGGTAGCGGAAGAGGTTCATCCCCCCAGTCCAGTGACCTCCAGAACTGATGAGGAGTCGGGAGGCAGCTGAAGGATTCAGCCCCAAAGGGGGAATCACGCTGCCCGCAGGCAGGGTGAGGCCTCTGACAACTCGGTGGGACTCCCTCGGGCTCAGGCAGGCCTGTGTCCACCCCCAGCCTCCAGAGCACTGACCCACCTTTGTCCCACAGCGGCACACGGTTCGCCAAATCCAACAAAATCGACAGAAAGTACCAGGTGCTCTGGGACAAGCCACCTCCTCAGGCCGAGTAAGTGACCGTGCCTTTTCCTCGAACTCCATTGTAACCTGCCGTCTCCATGTGGGGGCACTGAGCCTGGTTCAGTTGAGGGGCAAATAAGGAGGGGTTGGTGAAGGGGCAGATAACGGTCAAGGGCGGTTTACCTCAACTCATCTCACCTGGATTTGTGGAGAGATTTTTTTTTTTTTCACCAAAATTTCACATTTTTCAAATGAAGTATTTTGTGGTAGCAGGGTAGCAATGCCTGTCTGAGGTTTGGGTTTTGTTTTATTTTTAAGTGCTTCTCTTTCCTGCATTCTTTTTTTCCATTTATTCTAATGCCAATGATTGAAACAAAATATGCTGCACTTAGCTACATTTCGAGCAAACTTGTAAAATTTCTACTTCAGAAAATCAAAAGCACTCAGAGAAAGTTCAAGTCCACAAGTGCTCCCCCTGCCCCTGAGTCAGAGGCCCCGGCATCGCAGCGCCCCACCTGTCTCTCAGCCCCACCGGCCTCACCACTTGGGTTTTGGGAACATGCGAAGAAGGGCGGCTTTTACATCAGGTGGCCCCTTGTCCCGTGTACCCAAAGACATTCCAGGTCGTTAAAACCTTCACTCTCTCCCAGTTTCCTGTAGTTCTGTCATTTTATCAGGTATGTAGATGCATGTAACCATCACCACAGTGCAAAAACAGGACCGTTCCATTGTCACCAAGGCTCCCCACCCCTGCTCCTTACGGCCATGCCCACCGCCCTCCCTCGCTGTCCCTACCCCTGAGCGGCAGCTACTCTGTTGTCCATCCCTACAGTGTTGCCACTTTGGGAATGTCATATAAATGTTCTCATACAGTGTGTGACTTTTCAGAGTGGCTCTTTGCAGTCACCACAGTGCTCTCGAGACCCACTCAAGTTGTCATGAGTGTCAGTGGCTCACTCTTTTGTGTGACCAGGTGGGACGGATGATGTCTGTGGTGCAGAGGTACAATGGCTCTTTGGTGATTAAAACAACCACAGGCTACACAGAAAAAAAATAAGTTGAGAATTTATTGAATCTCTGAGAGGTAGGGACTCCCCTGGTGTAACACAGTGGTTAATGGCTCAGAAAATACAATCAGACTGACCATGCTTTTACCTCCGAAGCTGGGACTCAGCCGACTGACGTCTCCCCAATCTCGGCCTTCCCCTCGGCACAGCGGGTAGGAGGGAGCCCTCCTCTCGGAGCCGTGGAGGAGAGCCAGGGAGCTCCTGAGCGCCTGCCGCGGGCCTCCCTTTAGTGATACAGGACTGTCCCACCGGGAAGCACTAGAGGAAATCATGACAAAAACAGATGGAAAATTTTGGCAAATAAATTTTGAAATTCCTGTAAGTTAAAATGCAGCGAAGTGTTATCAATAATAGCCACCAGCCAAGACACCATGACGGTAAACGAGGACAACAAAGAAAAAGACGTTTAAAAATTGGGCCCCTCTGCCCGCCGCCACGCAAACTGCTAGGGAAACCTTGAGAACTTAGTAGGGTAAGAGAATCTGAAGAGACCACTCCGAAAGGAGGAATAAAACCAGGAACAAATACATGGAGAAAACACGCTCCCTAGATTGCAAAGGAGTGAGAGGGGAAGAGGTTCGCTCCGTATTTTGCCTGAGATGAACCAATATAGAAATGGATTTCAGCGACATGCCCAGTTTATGTGGGGAGAGCGACGGAGGTGGTCCCTCTGGGCACTGCAGGTGGGAGGTGTTACAGAAAAAATTATTCTGATGATTTTATCCCAGACTATTGCTTGAGGTGTTGAGACTCACACTAGGGGAGAGATGGGGCTCAACTCAGAAGACAGCGAGGACAGCGGGGATGGACGGCCGATGTGCAGAGCGGGGGGTGGGGGTCCGTGGATGGAAAATTCCAGAGTGTTGGTATTCTTGCCAAACCTACTTAACAGGATTCTTGCTGATGGCAGGCCAGGCTGATCGAGCATAAGGGGCTGTCTCTCGACCAATGTAGCAGGATTCTTGTTAAAACAGAACCCAGCAGGCCAACGACCGAGCCCAGGGGTGAGGCCTAGTTGAAGAAAGAGTTCGGAAGAGCCGAGCCCGACCACAGTTTGATCAAGGAGAGAGTCTTTGTCAGTCCCTCTTCTGGTTCAAGGGAAGAAGAGCAGCATGGAAAATACACGTGAACCTAATTCCAAACCCATTTTAAAATCAGCGAAAGGAAATGCAGTCACACATCGGCACTCATTCTTCCTTCTTGTTTTTCAGTATATTTTCAGTTCAACTTAACAATGACAAAAGAATTATAAAATGAAGGATCAAGTGACCTGTATACATATGTTTCAGGAACTGGCCAACAATGGCGTGTTTATGACAGTCACTGTGACGTTTTATAGAAATTATAAGGATACTAAGTGTCCTGCAGGTGTATGTGGCTCTAACTCATCTGCCTTCACTTCACTCTGTTGAGGTGCTGGCGTAGCTGGGCAGGAGCGTCCATGGAGTCTGTGCAGATCCGTCTAATAAAGCCCTGGTGTGTTCAGCCACCTAAAGGCCAGAGGTATTAGAAGGAAAATGTTTGGTCCTACAAGAAGTCTTGCTCGTGTGATTAATATTTATAAGAAAGCATCATTTCTTCTTTCAACCAATGCCGAGGCACGGGTCGGTGCAGACTCTGCACTGGGGCCAGGGATTCCATGGTGAAGAAAAATAGACACACTCTGAAGTTTCCATCGGCTGCAAGAGATGGAGGTTAATCAGCCAGTCGCATTAATCAATCCCAGATCCCTCTCTGAGGAGTGCTGTACGGTCGAGGGCCACGCTGGGAGCTTTGGAAGGAGGCAGTCGGGAATTGCCACGGAGCCGGGATGTGAGGAAGAGCAGGAACAGGTGTGACCGAGAGGAAATTAGCAGTGCTCTCAGGGGATGAATCAGTCTGTACGAAGGTCCTGGGGCAGAGAGAGTAATTATAAGGAGTGACGAGGCCAAAAGAAAGCAGAGACCCTTGGAAAGGGCCAAACCCAGCTTGTCATACACAAGAGGCAATGAACTTGACAAACAGAAATATTAGGTGGGCATGTGCTTGGGCATCATATGAATGTCCAACTGCAGTTTTGGCCGGGCTGCTGAATCCTTGGAAGGTTCTGTCCATTTGGTTTTGTCCACATTGTTTGGTGCGATTCGGCCAGGCCTCTCAGGGCTCCATCTCGTGTGTGTTGCAGGGATTTTAAAGGGGTCGTCATGACCCTCCTCTGGGAGAACAGCGAGCATCTGGTGAACATCATGGAGGTGAGAGCTGCAGCCCAAGCCCTCTGCCTGCCCCTCCATCAGCCGCTGGCCAGTGTCCCTAAAGGCCTCTGCCTCCTGCCTCCTGCAGAGAATGGCTGTGTGGGCGAAACTGAGGAAAAGGGATTCCAGCCCCCACAGCCCCCATGGCTACCCAGCTAAACCTCATTCATTCATTTATTCAGTTGTGCAGCACCAAACATTTCTTGGGTATCACTGCTGTATGTCAGATACTGCATGTGCCCAAAGGAACAAGCCCATCTCTGTCCCTGAGGCCAGTGGCCAGCAGGAGGGTGACAGGCATGGCGGCACCATGGGAGGCAGGTGGGAGATGTGAACAGGTACCCGGGGAGTTCTTCAATAGGAGCTGCTCAGTACCCTGTTCAGCACACGCCACACAGAGGTGTCTGCGCATTTTTCTGCTTGCCTCCTACGGAGCAGCAAATCCTTTAGAACAGGAGCCTCGGATCATTCATACTGGCGGCCCCCAGCCTAGTAACCAGCTTGGCAACTTCATAGCAAGTTCTCAACCTGGTCATTGAAAGGAGGTTCCATTTGGCATTGAAGGATAAATAGAATTTTGCTGTTCACTCACTTGTGTCTTGCAAAGCCCTGTGACGCTGGAAGTGGTGAAAAGGACTGACAAGCAAGAAGAGGGTCACTGGTTTAGGGGACAGCAGGAGAGAAGGCCAGGGTGTGTGGAGGGCAGGGTGGAGGATGCCAGGAGCCTGGTCCAGCGTCCCATGGTGAGGGTCCTTGCCCAGACACTGTCAACCCTCTCTCGCAGGAGTTTAACCGCAAAGAGAAACGCCCCGTCACCAGGCCTGACTGCATGTGTGACACCTTCGAACAGTGTGTGGAGAACGTCAGCAAGAAGATGCTGGAGTACCAGGCACAGATGGACGAGTACCACAACTCCTGCCTCATCGGTGGGTGCTAGCAGCCGGGGCAGGCTCCAGCAGTGGCACAGGGCCACTGACTGAGCTAGGCTCAGGCCTCACGACCTGGATGTGACCCTTCGGGCCCAAAGGCTGCCAGGTGAGGCAGAGGAGCCTCTTAAGAAACAGTCAACATCTTAGAATTGGGAGAAAACCTTATTCAGATTTAACTGGGGGAAATAACAAAATGCCCCCTTCAGAAGGTCTCTTTTTCATGAGAAATGTGGTGATTTGTATAACTAAAAATGTTTTGTTTGTTGCACAGATATCTTTGACAGCTTTATTGAGATGGTCACATACATGCAATTCACTCACTTAGAGTGAGCAATTCAGTGAATTCCTTATATTCACAGAGCTGCACGACCATCCACGGTCAGGTTTAGAACGTCCCGTCCCCCATCACCTCCCCAGCCCCGCACAGCCACAAATCAGCTTTCCGTCTCTACAGAGCTGCCTCTCCTGGATTTCCGTATGAATGGATCATTTAGTATGTGGTATTCTGTCACCGGCTCTTCCATTTTGCATAGTTTTTAATGGTTCATCCATGTTGTACTGTGTATCTGCACTTCATTCCTTTTCATGGCTGACTTATATTCCATTGTCTGCACATACCTCATTTTGTTTATCTCTTCGTTCATTGCTGAACATTTGACTACTTCAAATGCTGTGAATACTTCTGCTAAGAACATTCACGGACATGTTTTTGTGTGGATACATTTTAATTTCTCCGGGGTGTGTAACTAGGAATGGAATTTCTGTGTCATATGGTAACTCTACTGCCTGCTGTGCGCCTGGCTTGTGCTGGGGTGATGAACTTGGCAGACACAGCCTCCTGGAGAACAGGAACCTGAGAACAGGCGGGGAGAACACATCTTGCCATTTACATTCATTATTATGACATTAAAGGAGTTGCGGAAACATGAGCCTTGCCCTGCTTTTGTCCATTTCTCCATGTTCCTCTTCACCCGTGTCCACAGCCACGTGTGTCTCATGCTGAGGTAAGCCCTATCTATTCCTCCTGTAAGTCAGGGACCCTGAGGGCCCATTGTCAGCCTGCCGTGTTGGTGCAGAGGCAGTGTGGATAGAAGAGGGAGCGGAGGAGGGGCAGTCAGACCTGGGCTCAAGACCCAGTGCTGCCATCTCCCTGCTGCATGACCTTGACCAAGTCCCCTCACCTCTGTGAGCCTCAGTTTCCTTGTCTGCTAGAGATAAAGACAAAGCCCACCCTGCAAGGCTTTTTTGAGGACTAAACCCCTCACACAGACCTGTCTGGTGCAGGGTAAGCAGTCTGCCGCGCCTCTTGCTACTGTGGTTGCGCAATGACTGGGATTGAAACTACAGACGCATCTTGTTCCTCTAGCTCGGTATCTCCCCCGGTGCATTAGAGTTAGGAGAGGAAACTGGAAAAATGAGCAAGGAGTGAGAGACTGTTAAAATGACCAAGTACATATGAAAGAGAACCAAATAGAACTAGACTGGAAAAGTAAATATATGAAATTTTAAAATTATAGAATGGCTTGACCTGGCTGGTGTGGCTCAGTTGGTTGGAGTGTCATCCTGTGCACTGAAAGGTTGAGGGTTCTACTCCTGGTCAGGGCACATACTTAGGTCGTGGGTTTGGTCCCTGGTCCCGCCCATACGGGAGGCACCTGATTGGTGTTTCTCTCACATGGATGTTTCTCTCTCTCTGTCTCTGTCCGTCTCTCTGCCCCTTCCTCTCTCTCTCTTGAATCAATAAATATATCCTTGGATGGGGATTTTAAAAAATTATAAATGGCTTTACAACTAGATGATTCACTGGTGGAGGTGAAATCCGTGAACTACAAGATAGATCCAAAGAAAATATCCAAAATGCAACACAGAAAAACAGATGAGGGTCGGGAAGGAAGGTGAAGACACCTGGAGGAAAGAGCAGGTCTGACATGCAGCCAGTTAGTGGCCCAAAGGGACAGGCAGGATGAGACAGCGGCTGAAAGGCATGATGTATTTTAAATGAGCTGAGCCCTGACCCAGTGACTCAGTTGGCTGGCCATTGTCCCACACACACACACACACACACACACACGATCGCAGGTTTGATTCCTGGTCAGGGCACGCACCGAGGTTGTGGGTTCCATGTGCGGTCAGGGTGCTTATGGGAGGCGGCTGATCGATGTTTGTCTCACACTGATGTCTCTGTCTCTCTCTCTCTCCAAAATCCACAAACGTATTCTACGGTGAGGATTAAATGAGCTGAAAGGTCCTACGGAGTACAGAAGAGAAGTCCTTTGAACTTGTTTAGTTCAGTATTTTCTATACTAGTTTGACCACATGAGCCCTTTTGATGAAACAGCTATTACCACATTGAAGACCAAGTCTTTCTCTTTCTCTTCTGGAAACTGCTTTGGACCTTTCTCGGAGAGACTGCCACAGCCATTTGGCTCTGCTTGATCTTCTCCCCCAACCCTGTGTCTACAGAATTACGAGGCCAGATGAGGAGATTTGAGGAACTGCTGCCCCAAGTGTGTTGGCTGGTGATGGAAAATTTCAAGGAGCAAAACTGGAAAAAATTTTGCACCTCTACCACAGAGATCCGGGAGCACTTCTGGGAACGTATGGAGCAACTGGAGAAAAAGAAGGTGGGGCCCTAGGATCAGCCCTTCCTCCCCAGGACCAGGGGCCTTGGGAGTTCAGAAATGGATGTGGGGCATAAACTGAGTCCTGGGAAGGGCAATGGGCCAGGCTTGGGAGCATCGGTTGGGGACTAAGGGACACAAGGCAGTGTAGAAATGGGGGTGGAGCCAACATCTTCTTCACAGGAGTCATTCAGTAAAATCCTCATTGGGTTTAATGGGGGGGGGGGGGGGTTAGTTGGGTTTCACATGGCCATCGTCATTGAGATCGACAGTGATTGCCTACCGGGTCCTTACAGCCGTGGGATGTGGATGCTGTTTATTTCCTTGGACTAAAGCCCTGATTGTGCTGGACAGATGCTCAGCTCACCCTCTCCCTATCCTCAGTCAGCTCCAGCCATGCCCCTCGCTGGCCTTCTCTGCCCACCCATGGCTTGTCACACACCTGAGTCAGCACACACCAGTCTGGCCAGTGCTGTGATTTGCAGAAGACATAGGCCAGTGACTTCTTTGTCCTGGCCTCAAGACAGTGTGGTCAAAACTCCTGCTCATTTCTGGATGTTTTTGATTGAAGGATAAAAATGCCCAGAGTCTCCATCCTAATCTTGGACACCCCGCACGTTTCCAAGAAGTGGAGTCTCTATGTCTGGCAGAAGACAGACGGCAGGAGGATGTGGACACCATGATTAGGACAACCAAGGACAAGCTGGAGGTCAGTGGTGCCATCAGCTCCCCAGTCCAGCGTTGAGGGCTGCCGAGCTCCCCAGAGAGGTTCCCCCAGCTGATAGCCCACCACCACCAGTGCTGAGCACAGCTTTTTGCTGACACTCGGGCCAGATTGGGGGATGAAAGCGGGCAGGTTTTACAGGTGGAGATGGTCATCGTTGGCTGTATTAACCTACATTTTTTGATTTCTAAATTAATTACAAAATGACTAATGAGAACTTTCTTTCAAGATCCACGTGTGGTTGCATTTCTTCTCTTGTGAGTTGTCCCTTGGCCATTTCTGAATCACTTCCTCTCTTCAAGCCAAGTCACCTGTTGGGAGAGGCCTCCTGGCCGAGGACCAGGTGCCCGTGCACTCGGATACAGAGGGTACATGGCTCCCCAAGTCCTCTCTCAGCCTCTTTGAGAGGCAAGAGCCTTTGCTGCCAGCCCTGTGCTCCCCATATCTCCTCCAGGACTGTGCCAGGAAGTGTGGCCGGTTATTCATAGCCAGCTTGGCCACCTTTGCCGAGAAGTTCCTGCTGCAGTTGGATGAAGTGATCACCATGGATGACATCCAGGTTGCAAGTAAGGGGCACTGCTGCCTGGCGTCCCGGCCCCGGGGGGTTGGCCAGGCAAAGGCTGATGGGCCTGGGGGGTCTGCTCCCCCACAATTGCACCAGAATGAAAACAGATTCTGCCCTTGAAGGGGCTGATGAATTTTTGTTTGTTTTCATGAAAAGTAACTTGTTTTCATTAAAAAAGCAAATCCCAAATGGGCCAGAGATTACGTGTTGAAAATGAATGATATTTTTATCATTTTGGGGCAGGGACAGTTTTTCTAAATATGAGAGGACAGTCAGAAACCATAATGGAAATGGCTGGCACATCTCTGTGGCCAAAGCGAAAACAAGGAAACATGTCAAAGGCTGGAAAGACAAATCACAAACTGGAGAAATATTCCTAATCTCCTAAAGGTCAGGGAAAGGCCTAACATCCCTGTGGTACAAAAAACTTCACCAGGTCAAATTTGTAAAGAGAGACCAGGGCAAACACGTGTAGTTCAAAAAAGAAGTAATTCCTGTGGCCACGAAGTTTGACCTGCTGGAGGATGAAAAATGCAAATACGGACATTATTAACATATCAGTCTTCCCTGACAGCTTTGCAAGGCTTTTAAGTTTAGTGGCAACCAGCCCTGGTGAGAACGTGAGGAAGCCCAATGCCACAGAGACCCTTGAAATGTGACATCGATGGCACTCTCTTGGAGAACCCTTGTTGCTACCCGTCCAAATTCTTTTTTTAAAATATTTTATTTATTTTTTTAGACAGAGGGGATGGGAAGGAGAAAGAGTGGGAGAGAAACATCAGTGTGTGATTGCCTGTCATGTGTCCCCTAACAGAGACCTGGCCCGCAACCCAGGCATGTGCCCCGACCGGGAACTGAACCGGCAACCATCCAAATTCTTAATGTGCACACCTTTGACCTTGTGATTTTTACCTTAGGAATTTATCCAACGGAAGCAGTTGCATGATTTTTCAAGGATATATTTTAAAACATATTCATCCCAGCATTAAAATTACAGAGAATTGGAAATGATACTAATATCTAAGTATAGAGGAATGGATGACTAAATTATGGCTGAAATGTGCAGTGAATACTGTTCAGCTGTTGAAGTGGGTTTAGTGGGCCTGCAGGTACTAACGTGGAACGGCAGGAAGGAATGCCGTTGTGTGAAAATGCACACTGACAGTACTTACCTACGGCACCGTGAAAAGACCCACATACATAACACACACACACACACGCATGCTCACGTCTATGTAAATGAGTCTGTGGGAGAGAGACAGAGCGGAAGACAGGCAGAGCCTGGGGACGGGTACCAGACCGCTGATGGCGACCACCGCTGGCGGCTGCGGTTATGAGAGACCTATCAAACCTTTTCTCTTTCCAGGTTATGTGATGTTTCAAGTTTTTATAGTGGCCATATTACTTTTATAGCTATGGAAAGACTCAAGTCATATCTTAAATGTTATCCATTTATCACTAACCTATTACGTCATTAAATATATTACTTTTACTCAAAATTTTTTATTACGAAGACAATAAGTATTTATTATAGTGAAATAAGGAATTCAATGTGAATTACAAAGAAAGTTAAGACCCCAGCCTGCATGTCTGGTGCGTTCTGTCAGCTTTTCCGTGGGAGGGGGCTCTGCCTCCCCCGGGAGACTCCAAGTGGGGAGGAGGGGAGTGAGCCCTTGTTTCTCTAAACGTGAGGTCGGGAGGTGGGCCCCTCGGTCTCAGGCTGTGGGTGAGGCCACAGCCAGCAACCCGTTTTTTGCCCACCAGGGATGGAACCCCCCAAACAGAAAACATCAATCCTCATACGGAGGAAACTCGCCGGGCTCTCCCTGGAAGAAGAGAGTGAGAAGCCCCTGGTTGAACGGGGGAGCAGGTGAGAGCCACGAACAGGAGGAATACCACGGATGGCCGTGTTTGCTGCGGGTGGTGCAGTGGGAAAACAGACCCGGTTCCCTGGGAAAAGCATTCTGTCCTGTGCCTCAGTTTCCTCGTCTGTGACATGGGCATAGGAGCCCCCTTACGTGGTATCATGAGCAGAGAGTTAACGGGGTCGGAGTGCCCCTGGCATGTACTGAGAACTCAGTGGCGGTAGGGCCCACGGAGGGGCCACAAAGAAAAGGCTGCCTGTCTAGTGTGAGGCATGTTCTTGGGTTGCTGGCGGCACCGTGAACATGTGACGAGAGCTATCAAAGTGCTTGTCCCTGTGTCCCAAGAATGTGACTCTGGGAGAAGTGAGGCAGGGATTTGCCCAGCTGTGTTCTTAGCAGTGGCTCTGACAGCTCGGCAGAAACAGTGGGCTGGGAGCCGGTGAGCACACCCGGCTGGCGACCGAGGAGGAAGCCAGGCCCAGGACAGGGAAGAGCGAGAGGTGCCACATCCCCCTTCCCCACACGGAACCCCGGACTGTCTGTTTGCGTGGGTTTAAACAGTAGGGAAATGCAAAAAAGAACTCGAAGAAATGCTTTTTCTTTTCATTAAGATATTTAAAGAAATACTAACCTCATAAAGACAAATGAATTTTACGGTGACACCCAACCAAAAAAAAAGGGAATGCCAGCCCTTCTCACCAGGGTGAGTGGTGCACTGTGAATGGGAAAGCTGAGCCTGGGGGCTGTGATTCCAGGCCACGTTGTTTACAGGAAGTGGCCTGGGATCAAACCCACTGAAGTCACCATCCAAAACAAGATTCTGCTCCGGAAAACAGCGTCGATCACCACCACCAAGACAAACCTGGGCCACCTGGCAGCCGTGGAAGCCCGAAATGCCGTCTACCTGGTGAGCGCAAAGATAGGTCTGGAGAGGCGTGTGGGGGGGGGCAGAGCAGCTCAGTGTGGCTGGCCTGGGAAAGGGGGGCTTCCCGTCACAGGGGCCTGGCATCTGGCCACGGAGCAGACGACACAGGTAAGGGTGCCCCAGAGCGCAGGGTCGACACTCAGAACAGTCGATGTTCCCATTCACAAGGACGTGAGCCACTGGTTAGGTCCGGTCCCACTGATAGCGTGGGCCCCAGTGCTGCTGTGGGAGCCCAGCGGAGGGACACCCACACAGGCAGGGGAGCCGTGGAAAGGAAGGCTTTCCAGAGGAACAGTGAGTCCGAGCGAGGGGACAGGGTCAGTCAGGGGCAGCAGCGGGTGGACTGGTCGGCAGTTTCTGTTCTCGACGAGAGCATCGCATCGAATCCTTGAAACAAGCCCGCGAGGAAGGTAGAGTTGTCCCCGTGTTACTCTTGAAGACACTGAGACTTAAAGCAAGTGCGCCCCCATAGGCCACTACAGAGTGGCAGAGGCAGGGTGAGAAGCCAAGTGCCTCGGAGACACCCATCGGGGCCTGTGTGAAGAAGAGGCTACACCCAGTGGCCACCTGGGGGGCCTGTCAGCTCTACAGATGCGTGGTCCTTTGGTCCAGGTGCCCAGAGAGAAACCTTTTTCTGCCTGGAGGTAGGCTGACCCTGGTATTGGTAAGGCTCAGTCTGAGCCGCAGTTTCCCCACCTATAAAACAAGCAAAACAGTCAGACCTGCCTGACTGGCTGTTGAGCAAATATGTAAGAAATGACTTCTGAAATCTTGCCAGGGCCTGGGGACGGCGGGCGGGAGGTGGCGGTGCCGGTTAAGAGGCGCCTGCCTCAGTGTATAGTGTTCCCCTAGTGCACAGGATCCAGAAGCGCCTTCTCACGGGGCCGCCTCCTGCTGCCTTGCTCCTAGAAATACCTCGCGTTATTCGAAGGGGAGTTGAAGAGGATCCAGGACGAGCACTGGACGCAGGTGCGGGAGGCTGGGCGCTGGAAGGACAGCTGGAAGAGCTCCGTGCACACCATCCGCAGCCTGTACTCGTGACGCGCTCAGTTCACCCCGAGTAAAGGCTCCTTTTCTATGGACTCCTCCTCTGTCTCTCCGCCTGTCTCTCCGTCCATCTATCCATCCATCCATATGTCTGCCCACCTCTGCACTATGCCCAGCACCGTAGCTTCATGACTGGGGACATCTCGTGGGCAGCAGTTCCAGTGAGGAAGACTGAGGTAGGAGGAGGAGTCCTCGTGGTTCGCAGGGACGGTGGGTAACGGGAATAGGTCACTTAAAACAGAAGTACTTCGAAGGAAATAACTTCCAAAAGCCACACTTGGTGCTTGCTCTTGGAAAATGAAACAATTAGATCTTCTGGAAAAGGCTCTCTTTTACATGTAACAAAAATGTGGGTTATAATTGCAACCATGCACTGATTCCTAGAACCAACAAAAAATGCATCCAGTGCCACTTGGGCATTTACCTGGCAACTCGCCTCAGCAAATGACAGCATTTTGGGGGAAAAAAATCCTCTAGGACTCCTTAATTCTCCCAAGGGCCTCTTTGATCCCATGGGACTCAGATCATCCTCCCCGAACACCTCCGCCCTGCTGTCTTCCTGGTCAACGTTCTCCTCTTTGATTGCTACTCGGCCCCGCCACGCCAGGTCCCCTTTGTCAGTAGCTTTCCATGTCACTTGGACGGGTTGCTCAAATTCCTTCCTGGACACCACACACCCCTGTTTCTTTTACATGGTTGCCATTTTGACTGCAACCATTGACATTTTCACGTGCTTTCTCTATCGTAATGACTCATGAGGCAAGCCCCTATATATCTACCTAATGTGGTTTCTTCCCACTGCCTTTGCCTTTCCTCACCCCAGCATCTAGTGCAGTATAAACTTTGTACCAGCCGGTTGATGACTATTACGGAATCAGTAATACTGCAGCTGGTTGCTTTGCTTAAAGTATTAGTTACCCCACAACTGAGTCCTTAACCAGCTGACAACGAAGTATCTGCATCCTTGGAGTCATCCAAATATCTGGGCCCTGTTCAAGGCTGAGCTGTGTGGATGACCTACAACTTGGCAGGGGGCAGGGGGGCCTCTTAGACAGCCACGCCCCTCCCCTGTTGCTTCTGTGACCTCTCTCCAAACAATATCACTTTGAGCTTTCACGATCCTCTGTTTTCCAGTGTTCTTCAGCTGTGTAGCCTCTGCAGCTTTAGGGATCAGTCTCTCCCGGGGATTAGCCCCTTTCAGCTGACTCACCTTGGAGGGCTTTGTGGGCAGATTAGGGAGTTTTGCCCGATCAGCACATCCTCAGCTGTACCACAGCCTGCATTGCGGCAGGGCTCTGGCAGTCTCTCCCTTTTGATTGTTTTGTTTTGTTTTTCTCCTTACTCAGTTAAAACACATGCAATTGTCTAGAAACTTCTCTGCATTTGTTTGTGAGGCAATAGCTGATTGGAGAGGGGGTGCTCACGATGTCAATGATTAACCAAAAGCAGGTCTGTCCAAAGATCGCTTTTGTCATGGATCTGTTTTTTCTGACCTTATGTAAGCAACAAGTTCCAGTGAGGCTGGGTTTTATCCACAGACACAACTTCAAACATGTTGTTTAGCTTCAAAAAAATTTCCATTGCTAAAATTCTTTGCCATTAAGTAACTCAGAGGGAAAAAAAGATGAATAAAATCTAAATTCTTTTCAAGTTTGTTCACAAGGGAGATAGACATGGCCTCGCCTCCACCATCAACATGTTTGAGGAACAAGTCGGGTGCTGGAAGAGCTCAGCTAAAGGAGGAATCACTTTCAGGTGGGGTGTCAGGGAAGGCTTCCTGGGAGAGGAATTACCCTAGACACTGAATAACGCTATCAGCAAGTCCCTGAGGCTCAGCTGCTGGTACACATGGTGACAGAGTTTAGGTTTTCTTTTTGAAGACAATACACAGAAGAAGCAGATGAGTTCAGAAGGGAAGTGAGCTGCAGGCCACCAGAGGTCTCTACAGTCACCTCTCTCAGTTTGGGGAGTGGGAGGGATGTCGGTTGAGCTGCCTGTGGTGGCTGTAGAGTCTGAAAGGCTCTGAGAGGGAGTCTGTTTCCTGGGCTGAATTGCAAACACCTAAAAAACCCCTCAGGTGAGATGAAAAGTGAGAGACAGATGGGTTCTTGACCATGGTGGCTGTCTCCCTTTCATTGTAAATGGTGCTGGCTGAACTGAGAAGAGGGAGGAAGTGTCAGAAATTCAACTCAACCAATAGCGTTGGTCCTGTCTGCCCTGTAGGGGCGTTTTGGTGTTTTGTGTCCAATGTGGTTCTTTCCATATAAACAGACTCCCCGGTTAGGGAGAGAAATGCAGGAAGAGCTTTTGATGGAGGTTTCACACTTTTAATATTTCCACCTTTCTCAGCCCAGGATAAGCTCGCAACACATTCATCTTCCTTCCTCACACCTGGGCCTTGATATGCACTTCAAGAGAGGTTATCATAGAAAGGGGAGTGCAAGACCTTCTCTAAAATCATATGCCCAATTTTGTATCTATGTGTTACTTTCACATATACTGACTTCCTTCTCCACCAAAAGGTAAGAACCATTGTGCTTAAAGAGTAAGCAATTTGTATCATCTCCGATGTCTCTTAATTCCCCTAAAATCCAATTATATCCAGGGCATGGGGGTTAATTCTTGAACCCCCTGGGCCTTGAACTATTCCCAAAGAAAATAAACACCACTTCCTAATCAGTCCATACGATGTCAGCTACCCAGGGACTTCTGAGGACCATCTGATATGTCTTGGTCAAAAACCTATGTAGAATGGACACTTTACCCAAGAGCATGAAAAGGTGCTCAGTATCATTAGTCAGGGGAAAATGCAAATTCAAACCTCAATACGATATTGCTATATATCTACTGGAATGGCTAAAATTAAGGAGACTGACAACACTAAGTGGTGGAGAGGATCTGGAACAACATGAACTCTCCTACATTGCTTGGGTGCAAGTGGGAGGAGAGTCTGAAATAGAGTAGCCACTTTAGAAAACAGTTTATGACAGTTCTTACAAAGTTAGACATGCCCTTACCCTACAACCAGCAACTCTACTCCCAAGTGTTTTTGCGAGAAAAACATGGGACCACACAAAGATCCACGTGACTGTTTGTTGCTGCTTTATTACAGTAGTCCCAGCCTGGAAACAGCACAGGTGTGAACCGAACGTGAACAGACGAACAAACTCAATTTATCCATGCATACAACAGCATCCTAATTCAACAATAAAAAGGAAGAGGCTTCTGATATATGTGACAACATAGGTGACTCTCAAAAGCATTGTGTAAAAGAATCCAGACACAAAAGACTACATATGGTATAATTCTAGTTGTATGACATTCTAGAAAAGGCAAAACTGTAGTGACAGAAATTGTATCAGTGGCTGCGAGCAGTGGGATGTAGGAGGAGGAAATGAAAAGGGTCACAACTTTGTGGAATGATCAACTAGTTCTATATCGTGATTGTGCCCCTGGACACACGATTAAACACATTTGTCAAAATTCATCAAACTGTACATTGCAATTTTTATGATATATAAAGTATTTATTGGTAAAATTGATTTAAAAAAAACTAGGTGCAGAACATCTTTTTGCTTAATCTATAGGACAGCACAAACATGGAACTCCTTTGCAAGGATGAAGGATCTCACACTTGGGGGTCAACTCACTTGGTTTTATCATTTACAGTATTTTACATTCTGTACTCTGGAGTTTTTCCTGCTCCAACTGGCATTCTTTCAATTGGGTGCAGCTTTTTACATCTTTCCCATCTTCAGTACGGAGCCAGAGGATGTCATGAGCACTGCAGAGTCCAAACTGGGTCTGGTTGTATTTGAGGTCTATTAAATCCACTAAAGTGTTTGCCTAGATTGGAGGGAGGAGAAGGCAGAGAGAGCTGTGAAATAGATGGACATTTCAGTCTATTAACGACAACCAGAGCGAAGTGTCAGGGAGAGACACTGGGCAGACTTAGGAACTAGATGTGGGAGCATAAAAGAGAACAGTGTTCAAAGAAAACCGAACGGTTCCCCACTGCCTTTGGGAAAAGCCCCAAACTCTTGAGCACGGGCTAATAGGCTTTTCATGATCTACTTCCCATCCACCCTTTCACTGTCCACTAGATCTTTTCACTGAATCAAAGGCTCCTCCAGCCCGGACTTGTGCCTTAACATAGGAGGCACTCCATGGAAGGTTGTTATTTAACAGCAGGTGTTCGGTATATGCTGTTTGCCCTTTCACCTTCTGTTGGACATTTGACAGTTTCCATTTCGGGCCTTCAGGAAAACAATGCTGCTATGGACATTCTTGTCCAACTTTTGAGGAGGACATATGCTTTCACTTTTCTTGGGTGAACTCTGGGAATAGAATTGCTGGGTCATTTGTTGCTTTAAGGAATATAAGCCAATATGCCCAGTAAATGTTGGTAAAATGTATGTACAGAAGAAATAAGTGAATAAATATTAGGTGTTCAATAATTTTAGAATGGATTTGGCAAATATTTGTATCACCTTTATCATGTGCCAGACACTGGAAAGAGACTAGGGAACAAGACAAAGATCCCCATGCTTATACCTAAGCAACCTAAAGATGCTTATAGATCTTTAACTTGAGGAGGATAGCAGACAAGAAAAGACTTAGAACACATGTACTGTGCTAAGGAGGGAAAGCAGAGAAAGGAGACAGGGACTATGAGGGAAGGAGACTGACATTGTTGAGTGTGTGGCCACGCTTCTTGAAAGGGCGATGCGTGAAAAACACCTAAAGGAAATGGGCGGACCGGGTGGCTGTCCAGCAGAATCAAAATTAGATGAGCAAGAGCTGAGTGAAACTTCTGATGGGAGGATAAACGCCACAGCAGGAGCGCGTCGGTGCTGGCGAGATCAGCTGGGTCCCGGGCCCTCCCGGCCCGCCCGCACTCTCTCCCCGCGAGGAGGCGCTCCCGAGCTCACCCTGCAATCGTCTTCGCCCTCGGCCCGTGCGTGGGCACGCGCAGAAACCGCTAGGCGGTGTCGGTTTTCCTCCCCACGCGCGGACGCCGGCGTGGGCGGACGGGGCCGGGCGCCCGCGCGTGCGCAAAGCCGAGGCGGGGGGCGAGCCCGGCGCGGGGAGGGGCGGAGCGGAGCGGGGCGGGGCGGAGGGGCGGGGGCTGGAGGTGATTCCCGAGCCGCAGCGGTAGCTCGGCGGGGAGAGGAAACCGAAAGTGGGCGGCGGCCGCGGCTGTGGCCCCGGCGGAGACGGCGGCGGGCGGGGACCGGCGTGGGCCCCCGGGACGAGGTGAGCGCAGGTCCTACGGCTGAGGGCGCGACAGGTGCCGCGCGAAGTCGGACGAGGTTTGGGGAGGAGGCGGCGCACCTGTGTCTCCGGCGGGACGGTGGCCCGGGCGACGCGGGAACGGGCCTCTTCCCCGGAGCCGCAGGGGATGCCGCGGTCCGGAGCCCCGGAAACGGGGCCGGGCGCCGGGGGAGTTGGAGTTCCAGAGCGTCGTGTTTGACACCTGGCGGGACCGCCCCGGCCACTCGGGGCGGCTGCACGTTCCCCCGGGAGTCGGACGGAGCCTCCTGCCGCCCGGGAAACCGAGCGGTGGCGACGCCGCCGCGGCGGGGGTGTGGACGCGGCGGCCGGGGCTGACCAGGAAGTGGTTCCCGGCACCGGCGGGACCGGCCGCCGCGGGCAGCCCGCAGCCGGGCCGTCCGAGCCTCAGGCTGCGCGAACTCCGGCGTCGTACACCCGGGGCTTTAAGTTCTGGGAAGGCGCGGGCTTTTCTTTACGCACCAGCCGGTGCAGGCCGCTCAAGGTAATGCAGGGCACAGACACCATCCTTTGGATCACATCGTGAGCACCGGCTGGGCTCAGAGCTCCAGGCTCGGAAGGAAACGTGAATCCGAGAATGAGTTGTGTCTTAACTTCCACCAAGACCCAGCAAGGTCAGGTTCTCAGCCTCAACTTAATGGGAGGAGGTTTGGAGCCCACACAACTTTTCTGCTCTGGTCCCCTTGAGGGGTGTAATACCTTTCCGTTAATAACCCAGGGTATGACTCGAAAATAATTTGTGATTTGAGTAGGAGAGGGAAATCCCTATATTACAAGCAAAAAAAAAAAAAAAAAAGTCCTGGCTCAAGAGTATTCTGAAAACTGCTCAACTAAACTAAACTAAGCAAAACAACAAACCACCCATCTAGGTCATCCATGCCCCCGCCCTGCGCCCAATCGTACAGGTAGAAAAATTGCAGAAGAGTGTTCCTTCTAATGATAAGCAATGACTTAATGACAGACAGTGAAACCTTGACCTAAGTCCCTAACTTATCTGGAGCTGCCTTCAAGGGCTGCCTCGATGGGTATCGGTGCTGTATAATACAATTAGCGTGCAGACCCGGATTCGAATCTGAGCTTCTCCTCTTACTGTGATCTTGAACAGATTACAGACTTGCTTTGAACCTGGTTTTCTATATATCAGATGGAAATATTTAGCTCAGTCTGCACAGCTTTTGGGAGATAACTACTGTAAATCCTTTGAATGATAGTCAGGAAAGGTTAAAACTCTCACCAAACTCCCCATAATTTACATAATTGGATTTCAGTGTCTTGGAAGCAGTGAGATGTCTTTAAATTCTCTATGTAATATCAAGTGGCCCAGGGTAGAGATTTTTGCAGTTCCACTCCACTGCCATTCATTGAGCATCAGTTACATGCAAATTACTGTGCTGGATCCAGGGAATTGATTGCTCCTGAGACCTGCTGGATTAGAACCCACATCCTGTACCCAGTATAGGGCCCTTTGGTGGCACACAGCCTCCCTCTTTGCTAAACACAGTGAGACTGTGAGGCAGCAGTGGATGGTGCTTTCAGATTTCAGTTCCTGTAGATTGGAAATGAAATGTAATCTCTGCTAATGCGCTTTTAAGTGTACTGGTTGAGTGTGGCTGAATGAACTATTGTATTTTGTACCAAGAGATTTAAAGTTCTTGAAGGACCTCTTTTTAAATTCTCTGTGCAACGTAATCTAGTTGGAGACAATGTGAATGTAAAAGGAAAAGACTTGATAATCCAACACAAAGTGACTACTCTCTGTTGGATCAAGTGTCATTTTCAAGAACTGAGATTTGACCAGAGAGTGCTCTGCTTCTGGTGCTCTGCTTCTGGGCACTTTTAGGATCGACAGATAAATGCAGGAACAACAGAAATGCCTTGGTATGTGGAGCGAAATCTCATTGGTGTTTCTTTCCTTATGTGAAACCAATTTTTCCCACCCTCTACTCCCACTTTGTGCTTTGAAAATCTTCTTTTAAAAAAAATTTTCCCCATTGGGCCAATTTTTTAAGAAGTTTTGTCTTTCAAACAACCTATTTAAACATACTTTATTTAGTCATTTTAGCTGAAAATGTGTGCATGTGCCTGTTAGAGCTTCTGACCAGCACAATTTACCCAGTGGGACCCCAAAGTGAGCGCTGTATGTTAGCCATGCAGCTTTGTCAGGAGGAAGCAAACCCGTGGTCCCCATACCCCCTTCAGAACTGCAGGACTGCAGGGAGAGCTGAGAGCCGCAGATCTTACCTACCTTCCTCATCCTCCATGGGGAAGAAAAGAGACCTGAAGTGATGCACTGACAGGGTCACATGCACTTAGTAGCATAAATAGGATTAAGACCCACATTTCTAAATAAACTAGTTCGTCGTGTCTGTTATATAGATTTATGGAAAGACCTTGCTTATATGTTTGTAGTATAAACTTAGCAATGCCCGCATAGTTTGGAGTTTGAAATGACAACAATAAAAAAGAAGACTGTTTCCTGAAGATACTCTGTGGAAGTATTGTACCTCACCATTTCAGCCATTAATTACTATCTTTCCTTTTTAAAAGAGTTGGTGAACAAGGAATTCAGGTGGTAATAAATAGACTACAATTGGAAAGAAAAGGCACCATGTCAGACTGTTGCAAGATGAGGAATAGTGTGGAAGGGTCTTAGGCAAAAGCCTTCCCTCTTAGGCCCAGGCTTGTAAGATGAGGAGTTTGGGATGATGTCTAAAAGTCTTTTCAGTATAGACGGTCTGACTATAGAGGCCTGGCCTGTTGCTAAAATAGCATCTTCAAGGATAAGAGCGTCCAGTTGCCAAAAGTGTATGTCCTGAGGAGATACTGAAAACTGAGTAGCTGATTAAAGAGAGATTACTCTGATTTCAGTTTACCCTAATAATTCTTCAGATTTATTTTGGGGGTTTAGTGCCACTCTACAACTCAAATTTATGACATGAAAAATGCATTGAGGAGGGTGAGCTGGGTGGTACAATTGGAAATCATTGAGAAGTGAGAACCTTAGAGAAGAGAAAGCACAGGGGAAAGGCAGACCAGCTTGGCTAAAGGTCTTTGGGCACCAGCAGCAGGGTTCAGGAAGCTCAAGCAACACTGGGAAGCAGATAAAATGCAAATAACTGAGCCAGAGAGGATCGGTCTGCAGTGAAGGCATGTGTCTAAAGGACTCCAAAACCAGGTTCTTCAGAGCAAGACTTAACCTCAGGACCATTTTTAGGTGTGTTAAAGAAAAAAAAAAAACTGCGAATTTCCAAAATACTGTTTTGAGAATTAGCTTAAGCTCTTGAAATTGCTTAAATCTTGCTTTTCTCAGGTTTGGCATTACTTTCCCCTACTTCTTGCCCCACTTCCTGTACATATTAGCAGTTTGGGGTACTCAGTTAAAAAGAAAGGATAAATGGTGTCAATTGCGACCATTAAAATTTTGTAACAGTTGGCAATTCTTTTGGATTTGGGGGCCACACCCTTCAGTCAGAATGTCGCGTATCCCTGTTGCAGCCACTTTAAGGTCTGGTTGTTTAGCAAGCCCCGGGGGAGCTATCATATTCTTTAAGTGCAAAATTTACTTTTAGAAGCTTACTGTACATTTGGAGCAGCTGTCCAGAAAGAACCCTAGGTTTGGGAGCCGGAAGACCTGGGTTCTTGTGCTTCTGGCCATAAAAACATGTGAGATTTGGAATATTTACCCTGGGCCTCAGTTTTCTCATTTGTAAACTGAAGAGTTTGTAGGAGATGGCATGAAGGTGCCCCCTAGAATTCCATGTGTCCATCGGCTCCCCTTGATGGGCTGGGCCCACCATCTATGCTGCAGTCCTAAGCCAGGCAGGGTCTGAGGACATTGTGGGCTTGTACTCTCTGGCAGGGCCTCTCTGCTGAGATACCACTTGCTAAAGCAGTAAGTGACTTTTTGTCTACTATTTAGGTGAGAAATCTTGGAGGAGAAAGCCACTTGCAGAAGTGGCTTTCTTACCAAGCTTGCCAGTTCATGAGCATGTGAATGAGGGAAGTAAGAAAATCTGGGAAAATTCTGGTATTTCAAATTTAATACCATACTGAAAATTTCTCCAATATACCAATGCTTATATCGTTGCACTCTTAGCCTTTGAATACATATATATTCACAGGTAGTTTCTCATCCACACCATGCTCTAGGGAAGTGTTTTTAATTGACTACTGAATGTCAAGTCTTGTGGTAAGCACATCTAACTCTACTTTTGACTCTTGTCATTCAGAAAGGGAGGCAAGGAAAGGAGGAGGAAAAAGAGAAAGGAAGTGAAAGTCAAGTGTAATATGTTGTGATCTGTTGTGGCCATTTTCTTCCTCCTTGACTGTGGTCTTTGCTAACTGACCTTGGTCAGTTTTTGAAATCAGAAATACTCTGGTTAAATAATTCTCCAGGCCCACTTCCACTTTACTCTGTTGTTTAGGATTCTTATTCAGCCAAAATAGCTCTCTTAAGCCCCTTCATTATCTGAGGAAACCCTTAAGAATTTTAACCTGAGAACCTGTCGTCTAAAACAGGGATGGCTGGCCTGACTTCTCCCAACCCAGTCTAACCTGTGGTCTGCTGGGGCTTACATAATACTCTCAAAATAAAAGTAATTTGAATTCTCTTAAACTCTAAATGTATGCATCACAACACTGGTAGAGAATAGAAATAAGGGAGAAGGGATTTGAAAGATCGTATTGGTAACTTAAAAAATTTGGGAAGCTGCTTTAGAAAAACGTCAAACAGTTTTTTGGAGGGATGCCTAAAGGTTTGCCACTGAGACACCGAGAGTTGACATTCCTGTGATAAGTTTCCTTTTTGTTTTAACGGATGACGTCCCAGAGGGTAAACTTGATTTTTATAGTTAGAGAAAGTATCCTTGTATGCTGCCCCTTTTGTAAAAGTTCTCCAGTGTCATTGCCATCTTCAGGGGGTCTCCAGATATGCCATGATAGCCACAGAATTAACAAAACTTAGAGCATTGAAGCAATATAGTAGACTAGGAAACGATAACGATTTTTAAAGCTTTAGTTGTACCTTTCTTTTTGTCCAAAGCCTAACGTGGTATTGCTGAGTAGGAATTGCAGACCAGACTGGAAGAAATTGACACGCAGGAGAACAAAACACACATCCGAACACAACATACAATCACACTCACCGTTCCAGGTTTGACTGAGCTTTACCACTTCTCACCAGCTTCAAGGTCTGAGAGACTAGCCTTCCTTCCAGAAAGTTGTTTGCGAATAGAGAATTCTAGTATTCTATGAAAGTCGCATATATTTTAAAAGGCGGGGATGGAGGGGGAAGGGGAGGGATACTTAATTCATGTGGTGTCAGTATTGCTTCCCAGTCTTCTCAAGTATAAGGTCCTTTTTGTTGTTAGCTTTGTAAAATTTGGGAGCTGTCACACACTAGCGGTTGTACTTCCAGTGTCTGTTGGTTGATAAACTACATTGCTATTCAAAGCTGTTGTGCATTCAGTATCATCTTGAGTGTGTGAATCCCAGTGGTATCTGCGAACTGTTTGAAAAGCGGGAACGCGTGTGCGACAGCAGTGGTCCAGCAGTGCTCACCGCCGCAGGCATGTGTGGGCTCCTTGCAGTGATGCTGTGGCCCTGAGCTGGGCCT